CACTACACCACCTAGCTGCCCCTGGACACATATTTTTGTGAGGAACAGGAAGAAGGCCAGCCTGAAGAGGAGAGAGTATACAAGGGGAAATGTTGGTTTAGGGTCAGATGTTGCAGAGACATCAAGACAAAGATTGTAAAAAAGACAGACAGATTTGGCAATTAAGAGGTTATTGGTGACTTTATAGAAGGCAGTTTTGGTTTAGTGATAGTGAGGCAGGAAGACCTACTGCAAAGGTTAGAGAAGTGGAAACTGCCAGCAGAGATAACTCTTACCTAACAATTTGGCTGAAAATACAGGGTGTCAGTTTGAGGGAAAGAGCAGTGTGACTTCCTTCTGTTTAAGCGGCTCATGTTCTGGACAGAATCTTCTAAATCTTATTAAAACCAATTTAAGCCAGGCAGCTAGGGGTGGCAGTGGATAGAGTATTGGCCCTGGATTCAGGAGGACCTGAATTCAAATCCAGCCTCAGATACATAATACTTACTAGCTGTGTGACCGTGGGCAAGTCATTTAACCCCATTGCCTAGTCAAAACAAAACAAAAAAAACACAATATAAGCCTTAATTTTAATAGCTGCATGGAGCTAGCTTAGCTAGTTATGTCACAAGCAGGGTGTGAATCTTGTTAATTCTTGACTCCAAAGCTAGCCATTTGCTTCCTCTCCTCAATCCAAAACAGTATAGTGAAAATATCCACATAGCAGAATAATGGCTGAGAAGGAAATAGGAAGCTGGGGGTCTTTAATTAAACAGATCTTGCAGGGATAAGGATTGATACAGTTCTTGCTATGGGAGGCCGGGGTGGGGGTGGAGGGCAGACAATACTAGTGGGCTCCTTGTGTATTTAATTCACAGGATTTTAGACTGTTTAGACTTGGGACTTTACTTTTTTCATTAATTCTATTTTACACATTTTGCTGGGTCCCACATGATGCTGGGATGCAGAGTAGTGAAGCAACTTGGGACAAACAAGCATACAATGAGTGGGTGACAAAATGTTAGCACTTTGAAAAAGTAAACCTGGAAATATATGTATGTATGTATGTATGTGTATCTATTAAACATGGACATATGTGTATATATAGATATAATATGGGGAAAGATGTGTACATTATAATTAAATATTATTGATTTAATAGTAATTAAATTAAATAGTAATAGTAAATTACATATATTAAACATGGAAATAGCTGTGTATATAATAAACCTGGAAATACACACATACGTGTATATATATGTGTGTGTATAAAAACCTGGAAAGTATATGCATGTGTGTGTGTGTGTGTGTGTGTGTGTGTGTATTTAAAACCTCAAACCTTGGGTTAGTTAGAGGGATGTCTACCCCAAGTATGTGAAGATTTCCCCCAGCAGAATCGGCAGATGAAAACTATTTGCTCCAACAGTCATGTGGACTGATGAGAACTTGGTCAGACATTGAAGATGCCAAGGTCATCCACTGCATCCCTGGGTTGTCTTGCCTTTCTCTTGCCACTGGACTTAAATGACTCTGGAAGAAAGAGTGAGGCTAAGCAGACTTTGCTCAACTCTGCCTCACTTACATTCTTTTCTTTTTTTAACAGAAAGATTGAAAAATGTTATATTTTATTTTGACATGTTTCTATATACACACACACATATTAGGCAATTGGGGTTAAGTGACTTGCCCAGGGTCACACAGCTAGCAAGTGTCAAGTGTTTGGTCTGAGGCGGATTTGAACTCAGGTCCTCCTGACTTCAGGGCTGGTGCTTTATCCACTGTGCCACCTAGCTGCTCTCAAGAATATTTTCAATAGTCTTTTTTAAAAATTTAATTAATTATTTTTAGTTTTTAACATTCACTTCCATAAGATTTTGAGTTTTAAATTTTCTCTCCCACCTACTTCCCCCTCAGACAGCATACAATCTGATATTAGGTTCTACATATACATTCATGTTAAGCATATTTTCCCATTAGTCGTGATATAAAGAACAATTAGAACTGATGGGAGGAACCATGAGAATGAAGCAATAAAACAAAACAACAAAGGAAAAGGAGAGCACACAGTAGGCTTCCATCTGCATTCAGACTCCATAGTTGTTTTTTTTGTTGTTGTTAAGGCATTTGGAGTTAAGTGACTTGCCCAGGGTCGCACAGCTAGTAAGTATCAAGTGTTTGGTCTGAGGCCAGATTTGAACTCTGGTCCTCCTGGTTTCAGGGCTGGTGCTCTATCCACTGTGCCGCCTAGCTTTGCCTCTGCAATTCTTTCTCTGGGTGCAGATAGCAGTTTCTATTATGAATCTTTTGTAGTTGTCTTAGATTCTTGTGTTGCTGTGAAGATCCAAGTCTACCAAAATCAGTCATCTCATAATGTGGTTGTTACTGTGTACAATGTTCTCCTGTTTCTGCTCATTCCACTCTGCTTCAGTTCATGTAAGTCTTTCCAAGTTTTTTTGAATTCTGCCTGCTCATCATTTCTTATAGCACAATAGTATTTCATTACATTCATATACCACAACTTGTTCAGCCATTCCCCAATTGGTGGGCATCCCCTCAATTTCCAATTTTTTGCCACCACAGAAAGAGCTGCTATAAATATTTTTGCACATGTGGGTCCTTTTCCCATTTGTATGATCTCTTTGGGGTACAGCCTTAGAAGATGATATTGCTGGGTCAAAGGGTATGCACATTTTTATAGCCCTTTGGGCACAGTTCCAAATTGCTCTCCAAGATGGTTGGATCATTTCATAACTCCACCAACAATGTATTAGCGTTCCAATTTTCCCACATCTTCTCCAACATATATCATTTTCCTGTTTTGTCATGTTGGCCAATCTGATGGGTGTGATATGGTATCTCAGAGTCATTTTGATTTGCATTTCTCTAATCAATAGTGATTTAGAACACTTTTTCATGTGACTATAGATGGCTTTAGTTTCTTCCTCTGAGAACTGCTTGTTCATAACCTTTTGACTATTTATCAATTGGGGAATGACTTGTATTCTTATAAATTTGACTCAGTTCTCTATATATTTTAGAAATGAGGTCTTTGGGGCAGCTAGGTGGCACAGTGGATAGAGCACTGGCCCTGAAGTCAGGAGGACCTGAGTTCAAATCTTGCCTCAGACCAGACACTTGACACTTATTAGCTGTGTGACCCTGGGCGAGTCGCTTAACCCCTATTGCCTTAAAAAAAAAAAAAAGAGGCCTTTATCAGAAACACTGGTTGTAAAAATTCTTTTCCAGTTTTCTCCTTCCCTCCTAATCTTAGATGCATTGGCTTTGTGCAAAAACTTTTCAATTTAATGTAATCAAAATTGTTCATTTTGCATTTCATAATGTTTTCTGTCTCTTGCTTGGTCATAAAATCTTCCCTTCTCCATAGATTTGAAAAGTAAACTATTCCTTGCTCTCCTAGTTTGCTTATGGTATCAGTCTTTATATCTAAATCGTGTATCCATTTTGACTTTATCTTGATAAAGGGTATAAGTTGTTGGTCTATGCCCAGTTTCTGCCATACATTTTTCCAGTTTTCCCAGCAGTTTTTGCTAAACAGTGATTTCTTATCCCAGAAGCTCTAGTCTTTGGATTTATCAAATAGTAGATTAGTATAGTCATTGACTGTTGTCTTGCATACCTAACCTATTCCACTGATCCACCACTCTATTTCTTAGCCAAGTACCAAGTAGTTTTGATGATTGATGCTTTATAATACAATTTAAGATCAGGTACAGTTAGGCCACATTTCCTTGCATTTCTTTTCATAGTTCCTTTGATATTCTAGACTTTTTGATTCATCCAGATTAATTTTATTATTGTTTTTTCTAGCTCCATAAAATAATTTTTTGGTAGTTTGATTGTTATGGCACTGAATAAGTACATTAATTTAGGTAGAATTGCCTCACTTAAATTTAATTCACTCAAAAGTCAAGATGTGATCCTGTGATGCCATTAGTTCTCTTTTTGAAAACTAAGGACAGATGACATTTAAAATCTGGAAATACACACACACACACACACACACACACACACACACACACACACATACACACACATTTGCCACACACATGTGTTATGTATATGTACCTGGAAATGTGTGTGCATATTTTATACATGTGTATATATGTGTGTATGTATGCATGTGTGCACATCTATATCTATATATAGATATATAAAACCTGGCAATATGGGTGTGGGTATCGGTGTGTATATTTGTATATGCATATGTGTGTGTATACACACATACACCTGAAAATATGTGCTTATATTAAACCTAGAAAAAACATATATACAAACACACACGTTAATAAACGAACTCCACAGGAAAAAGCCACTCTCTCTTCCTGTAGGGGGCAAGGCTTAGAAATGACTTGTAGAGAAAGACTTGTTTGCGTGCAGTTTCCCCTGTTAGACTGTAAGCTCCTTGAGGGCAGGGGCAATTTTTTTTTCTTTGTATCCCCCGGCACTTAGCATAGTGACTGGTACACAGCAAAAGTTTCATAAAGTTTATTGAGATTTGGGCACCTAAATGTTGGCCGAGCCTTTTCTTACCCACCCCGCCCCCCAGCTCCTGGGTCACTTCGGAAAGCAACGCCCCGGGGGGCCAGGGAATGAGACCACGTAACCAGCTTTGTCAGGACTCGGGGTCTCCAGGTGCGCGAACCAATTGTCTGGGACCTGGGGGGGGAGAGGCGCGCGCGCAGTGTCAGGCCCCGCCACGTGAGTAACGCCGAGCGCTCCCGGGCCCATAACCCCGCCCGTAACCCTGCCCTCCTTTCGAACATCCTGCCGGGATCGCCAAGGAAACGCATTCTCGGAGGAACTCGCAGGCGGCCAATAGAAAGAGAAGGAACGCGACGAACTGACCAATGAGCGAAGAGCTGTGCGGGGTTTAAACCTGAGGCTGGGCTGCTGCTGGTCACTGCGTGCTGGGACGAACGGCTGTTGCTGCGCCTCCTTGCTGTGCCGGCACGGGGAGCTAGGCTGGGGGGGCACTGCCATTTATCTGTGCTTTCTCTGTCCCTTTTTGTGTGTCTGTGTGTCCGTTTGTTTCTTTGTTATTAGCTGCCGCCTGGAAAGGTGGAAGTCATGGCGCTCCGTGTTACTAGGGTGAGTTGCGGTGGAACGAAGCTGCTCTTCACCCATCACTTTGCCGCCCCCCCAACACCTGGCTTTGAAGGGGAGCTGGGGGAGCACACCTGGAAGGGTCATCGGTATAGAGGAGGAGGAGACGGCACGGCGCGGGGTGGGGGAGGCATGAGATTGCGGAGGGGCTTGGGTGAGTGGAGAGAGCAGCACCCTTAGGGACTCGGGGAAAGGGAATTGGGGAAGGAGGGTAGAGGCTTCTCTTCTTGAACCTCGTTTTCCCAAGGTCAGATCCAAGAGATAAAAGAGTTTGGGAAGTGGGTTAGTGAGTCTTATTATGGGAAACCTAAAATGGGCCCAGGCATCACACCCAACCAAATTCAAGATTCCCATTGGGTCTCTGGGGGACCCAGCCTCAGTGGAGCTTGAAGGCCACTAGCCTGGGCCTTGGGAGGTCCGGGGTCTCCCCCGTGCTTACAATCACTGTAGGACCTTAGCCTCTCTCGTTCTGTTTTCCCTGTTTTGTAAATTGGAAAGTCATTGGGGGGGGGTAGGGGGGAGGAGGAGGAAGGGAAAGGGATGGGACTAGATTGATTTCTCTGTAATCAAATAATTTTCCGAGGGAGAAGTCAAATTTGTGTCCTTCGTGGGACAGGGGCCCCTACTGAGTCTATTGTTTCCAGACTTGCTTCCTGCTCTGTCACCCTTGCATTGAAATAATTGAACACTAGGTGCAGTTAGACTTTCATCACTTTTTAACCTTTTAACCATTTGGTCTTGCTCTGAAGTAATATTTTTGGGTTCTTCTTTGCAGAACATGAAGCTCAATGCTGAGAATAAACTGAAGAGCAATGTCCCAGGTGCCAAGAGGGTGCCTGTACCCACTGCTCCCTCCAAGCCTGGGCTGAGGCCAAGAATGGCCCTGGGTGATATTGGCAACAAAGTGTGTGAGCAGCAGCAGCCACCTCCATCGAAAATACCTCTGAAAAAGGTAATTCCCTTAATTGGAGTCTCATCAATGAGTCTTCCTCTTCTAACTGTAAATCCTTCTTTATTTTTCTTCTTTTTTTTTTTTACAGGAAGCCAAAGCTCCTATAGCAAAAGTAGCTGCTAAAAAAGCCCCCAAACCAGTAGAAAAGATGCCTGTGCCTGAACCAGTTAAGGAAGAGAAACTAACTCCTGAGCCTATTAAGGTAACTGATTCCTTAAAGACATTATTCCCTGAAGCATACTGTTTTTTCCTCTATTTTTTTTTCTCTTTTCTCGTGGTTTACCCCTTTTGTTCTAATTTCTTCTTTCACCACATGACTAATGTGCAAATTTGCTAAATATGATTATACATGTATAGCCTATATCAGATTACATGCCCTCTGGGGGAGGGAGGAGGTGGGGTGGAATTTGGAACTCAAAATCTTAGAATGTTGAAAACCAAAAATATAGAAAAACATTTTTTAAAAGAACATTATTCTTTCAATTGATGTCCCAAATGTTTCATCCACATACTTGAAGGTGCCAGTTAAATGAATTGCGTTGACAAGGAATAGAGAGAAACTGCTGATTTCTACTAGCCAAGTTCACTGGCCTTGTTTGCATGCTCTCTTTTGGCATGCATCTTTGGAATGTTGGAATGTCTTCTTGAAGTTACTGAATTTCTGTTGGTTATACTATATTCAGGGGCAGCTAGGTGGTGCAGTGGATAGAGCACTGGGCCTAGAGTCAGGAAGATCTGAGTTCAAATGCAACTTATTAGCTGTGTGACTCTGGGCAAGTCACTTAAATCCTTCTTTTCTCATCTGTAAAATGGGGACACACCAGAGAAGGAAATAACAAACTACTTCAGTATCTTTGCCAAGAAAACCCCAAATGGGGTCAGGAAGAGTTGGACACCACTGAAACAACTGAACAAAGCATGTTGTGTTTTGTATGTGCCATCTTTAGGGAATGTTTTTGTACCAGTGAGGTGAACTGTTCCTGAACAATATAAACAGGATCTGGGAGGCTTTCCAGAATTAGAACTGTCTTTTCCCTGCCCATGTGCAGAAAGGAAGGATAAAAAGATCTAAGGTCCTGCCTTCCATTCAAATCAACAATACCTTTCCTTCTAACATATATCTAACCATTAAACTAAAAATCACTTGAAATTTAAGTATAGCCGATTTTACCTTTGATGATGATGCTGGTCAAATGACCCAGTAATTGTATACCTCCATTATGTCAGCAGGCAGGGAAAGCCCAGAACGTTTTATATTTGCTTCTACTGCGTTTAAATCTTGAATCAACAAACTTGTGGCTTTTACAAAACTAGTCAATGTTTGATACATTATTACTCCAAGAGGTGCTGCCAGAGAATACAGATTGAAGATTTTTTTCTGAGGAAAAAAACACGCAGAGACATCCATGTAGCAATAACTTCTTGAGTGGGTGGATAACTATAATCAGAAAGTCTGCTTACAGTCTGGTATACCATGACAGTATTGATTCCAAGAGCTCTCTGTTGCCAGGTGGATTCTCCATCCCCAAGCCCAATGGAAACGTCTGGGTGTGCACCTGCAGAAGAGTTTCTGTGCCAAGCTTTTTCCGATGTCATACTTGCAGTGAAAGATGTTGATGCAGAGGATACAGCTGATCCAAACCTTTGTAGTGAATATGTGAAAGATATTTATTGCTATCTTAGACAACTTGAGGTTAGTACTTATCTCAGAATCTTCCAAAACAGACTTCCTATTATTATTTGAGGGGTTTGGGGGGAATGCAAGTTGGAGGCCAAAAAACATTTTTATTTTTTTAAAATAATTTTTAAAACATTTAAAAAATTAGTAAAAAAAATTTGTGAAGTGTTTTAATAAAGTATAGCTACTAATAAGTCTGAATGACTAGCATTAAGATAACGAACTTTACATTTTGGACATAAAGGAGAACTTTTAGCCATTTAGCAATAACTGACCTTCCTAGATGCAGGTATCTCCTGTATTCAAGATACTGTGCTTCATGGAATATGATTTCTAAAGACGATTTACTTTTTTTTTTTTATATGCAGGAAGAGCAGGCCATCAGACCAAAATACCTGGTGGGTCAAGAAGTCACTGGGAATATGAGAGCCATCCTAATTGACTGGTTGGTACAAGTGCAGATGAAGTTTAGGTTGCTACAGGAGACTATGTACATGACTGTGGCCATTATTGACCGATTTATGCAGGTGAGCATAGGTAATCTTGAGTCTGTAGAGAAGTACTGTGTCGTGATCTCTGTAAAACCTATGAAGTTGTCATTTGAAAAGAATTTTTCCTTCTACTCTGGAGTTGCCTCTGGTGATACACCATGGAATGTGATACAAATAAAGTGTTGTGGATAAAGGGCTGGCTTCAGGATTCAGGAAGACTGGAATTTGAATCATCCTGATGCTAGTTGTGAGACCATAAGCAAATTACTTTAACCTGCTGAACTTCAGTTTCCTCACCTGTAAAATGGGAATGAAAATGTTCATAATACTATATATTATTACATAATACAATACATTACATAAGACCTCAGGGGTTGTTTGCACTTAAATGAGGTACTTTGTAAACCTTAAAGTGTTAAACATCAGTACTACTGCCCCTATTCATCATAATGTAGCTGACAATTATAAAGGATGTTAAAAATTGCACAGCACTTAGGTACATTCTCATTTGAACCCCATAACAACTCTTTGAGGTCAATTTTATTATTCCCACTTTTCTGATGAGGAAATTGAAGCTTGGAAGTTGAGTGAAGTGACACCATGGTCACAACTAATGTATCTGAAGGTGGGATTTTCCAACTTAGGTCTTCCTGATTCTAGGTACAGCACTCTTTCCACTCACTACACCACACTACTGCTCAAATATATAAAATTCCATGGTATAAAGTGAATTAGGCACTATCTCTTTCAACCTGCTTTGTGACTATGAAGTTTCTCTGACTTCTTCAGATCCTATAAAGCTTAAGTCCCTCTTTGCCCCATAATAACAGGAAGGTAGAACTAAAATCTACCCAGGACTCAACATTGGAGGGTAGGGGAGAAAAGCACTTGTAAGGTCTGTTATTAGTGGTTAGAGATGTCTCATGTTTCTTCAGATGGGTTAGTGACTAAAAACAGCCTTCTAATAACTATTAAAAATCAAATGTCTGTCAAAACCTGCCAATAGTGTTCATCTTCTGGTTGGGCTGTGAGTTTAAGGGGGCAGGGGAGGATGTTTTTGACGTTTCCTTTCAGTGGTCCCTGAAGGACTTGAAGAGAAGTCTGTTTGCATTGCATCCGTTTGGCAGCCACTCTCATTGCCTAAACTTCTTCATGGATCAATCTTGCAGGATAATAGCGTGCCTAAGAAACTGCTGCAGCTGGTAGGTGTTACAGCTATGTTCATTGCCAGCAAGTATGAAGAGATGTACCCACCTGAAATTGGGGACTTTGCCTTTGTAACTGACCACACATACAGCAAGCACCAGATTCGGCAGATGGAAATGAAGATTCTAAAAGCTTTAGACTTCAGTCTGGGTCGTCCTTTGCCCCTGCACTTTCTACGCCGAGCATCTAAGGTTGGAGAGGTGAGTGGAATCCTTGGTTCAGTCTGGTGGTATGGATGATATTATGGTCTAAGGTAAGCAGGCCATTAAGTACCAGAGTCGTACTAATCTCTTTTACGTTTCTTATTCCTTACACTTTGCTCAGCCTGAATAGATAGGCAGGTGTCTACTATGAACAAGGAATGGTTATAGGAATATGAAGGTGACAATTGGTATCTTGAGGGGAGAAGGCTGAACTTTAGACTCCTGTATGAAAGAATTAATATGAAAGAATTAAAGTGTAGTAAGACTATAAAGGTAGGTTGGAGGCTTTAAAGGTAGCAGATAACCGCAGGTGATCCAGTAAAATAGGAAGTGAAAGACAACAATTGGGTACTAGCTTTGGGAGCTTGTGACTATTCCAAATGCCTCTGTAGGTCATGTGATACTCAACGGGAAATCAGTGAAAGGATTGCCATGTGTTGGGCATAGTTTTGTTCATGTTTGGTAACACTTTGAGAAATGGGGTGTGATAGAGACCTATAGTTAAGGATTGAGGGCTTGACCAGTAACAGGGCAAGGGACTTGAGGACTAAGGATAGTAGTATCCTGCTGATATGGGTTAAATTGGGTAACTATAGAGTTGGAGGGTTTATGGACTGGCAAAGCAAGAAATGAGAATCCAGAGGTCAAGGTGAAGACAGAGACCGACTAGACTTGGGAAGATTGAGGCATTGGGACATGTAGAAGGACAGGAAATTGTGGTCAAAGAGGAGAATTTCAGAGTTTAAAATCTTAAGAGTTGAAACATTTTTGGGTGCTGATAAGGTCTCATGATGGCAAGAAGGTGACTGGATCTGATGTGAAGCATTCGCTGGTCAGCAAAATATAGAGGATTTTTTGCTTTCTCACCATTTAGAACAATTCATGTTCATAACTTACACTGTGGGCTGAATTTCCCAAAATCAGTAGATTTAAGTGCTTCAGGGCATATTTTGGGAAGTCCAGAGAGATTGTATTATTTTTCTTTTTTAAATATGGAACACTTCACAAATTTGCGTGTCATCCTCGCACGGGGGCCATGCTAATCTTCTCTGTATCATTCCAGTTTTAGTCTATGTGCAGCCAAATCGAGTGCCAGAGATTGTATTAAGGCAGATGGCAAGAAGATACCTGTATATAGACAGTTGGATGGGATATGAAGCCTGGCCTGGTATTGATTGGGCTGGCTAAAGATAGTAGAATGATGGTAGTATAATCATGGAAGTTTAAAGTTACAGATTTGTGGGCATAGTTTTCTTTAGTGGAGTTTGATAATTTTCTTAGATCCAATGGTTTCCAAACAAAAGTTTAGTGGACTCTTTGCCAAGAGGAAAATGAATTCTCATTCCAGGTTGACATTGAACAGCACACCTTAGCCAAATACCTGATGGAACTCACAATGGTGGACTATGATATGGTCCACTTCCCTCCTTCCCAGATTGCAGCAAGTGCATTTTGCTTGGCATTGAAAGTCCTCGATAATGGTGAATGGGTAAGCCCTGTATGGTCCATCTTATACTTGAGTGAACTTCTTGGTACTTGTATTTTTGTTGTGACTTTTCAGCCTGTAAGTCTGCTAAGGCCAGTCTGATTTATAAAACAAATACTAAGATACTGTTTCTTCTGATTTCACTCCAAACCAAATGAGAGAGAGGCTTGAAGAAATGAGGATTCTTTATAGAATTTGAGTAGCAACTACTCTGAAGTAAGTTCTTATTTGTTCCTCTTTCAATTCAGTACCTCTTCCCTAAAACAGTATCTGGTTACAAGCAGCAATCATCTATCTCCCCTGGACACAGAGAGACAAACAGACACATAGACACAGACACACACACACACACACACCTGTCATCAATCTAGGTAGCAGTTTTCATTTTATGAAAAGTGTAGTTTAGCATTTAAAAATCTCTTAATGTTAATAATAGCTAACATTTATATAGTGCTTACCATGTGTCAGGTACTGTGCTTAGTGCTTTAAAATTATTTGCTCATTGAATATGTTGACTGTAGACTCCAACTCTTCAACACTACATGTCTTATACGGAGGAGGCCCTTCTTCCTGTAATGCAACACATGGCTAAGAATGTGATCCTGGTGAACCGAGGGCTTACAAAGCACATGGTAAGTGGAAAGGGGTTAGGAACCATGCTGGAATTTCGGGGTTTAGTGAAGGATAACTAACTGTGTTAGAAGAGGGGGAGAGAGAGAGAAGGAAAGAGAGAGAGTGTGTGTGTGTTTAAAAGCTTTAGTTTTTTGTAGATAGGTACAGGCAGTTCAATTGTCTTAACACCTAAGATCTATATTTGGTGGTTTGTTTTCCTTAATGTGCATCAAATTTTTTTTTAACTCTTTCAGGCTATCAAGAATAAGTATGCCAGCACTAAGCATGCAAAGATCAGCACTATTGCACAGCTGAATTCTGTAGTAATTCAAGATCTTGCCAGGCCACTAACAAAAGTGTAACTCTTGATCTTGAACTGTAGTGAAATCTGCAATAAAATTGGCACCATGTGCCTTTTTGTACATATTATAACTCCCAAATATTTGTCATAATAAAGTTTTCTTTTGTCCCTTTTACTTTTATGTGTTAACTTTTTTAATGTCAATCTCTCAGAAGTATTTGAGGGATTTTGTTTGTTCAGGTTAGACTTAATGCAGGTAAAGGTTGAGTCAACCTGGAACTTGATTAGATTGTCTAATGAGTGAAACAATTAAGTGCTATGCCTGCCATATCAAAGAAAAAGGAGATCTGTGGGCTGGTATAATTAAAAGGCCTCAAGGAAGAGGTTTGGACCTACCCCCCATGAATAGGAAAAGTTTTTCATTGTTATATTGACAAATAAGTAAAGATTTAACATTAGCAAATTAACATTAAATGTTAAATAAATGTTTCATAACTGAACAGTCTTGTGTTCACTTGGTTCCCTGTCAGAATTTCTTATGTGGTCTGGCTCAGATCTTCATTTTTGCCTTCAGAGCCATCTGTTTCCTTCCATTTCAACATTCATGCCATCTACCCTGGATTTCCTCAACTCTTCATTTCTTCTTAAAAATTTCTTCCTCTGTATCAAGAGTTCTTAACCTGTTCTGTGTCATAGACCCCTTTAGCAGTCTTTGGAAGCTTAGAGATCTCTTCTCAGAATAATTTTTTAGATGTATAAGATAAAATGCATAGCATTACAAAGGAAATAATTACATTGAAATACAGTTATCAAAATATTTTTAAAATATCTTTATAGATCTCAGGCTAACAACTCCTTTATGTCTTCTTCACTCATCTCCAGAGGAAGAAATTTCTTTTCCACTTTTGCCCTTGATCTGGCTTCTATCTCCAGATCCTCCTCCTCTTATGATCATATTCCACTCTACTTCCTTTTTTGCTCTTTTTTTCCTCCAATCCATGTTTAAACTACTCTGGGCTTATACCACAAATTATCCAATCAAAGATCCCACTTTTTAATGTCTGTTCACCTCCACAGCATCACATGATTCTGGTGGTTGTCCTGCCTTATCTGACCTGGTTCTTCACTGACTCCATTTTCTTTTTGTTCCGTAAAATGTAGTCATTCCCCTCATTGTGTCAGCCTTTTTCTCCTCATCTGACTTCATTTAACACCTGTTTGTCAACCCTTCTTCATTACTTCTTGCTGGACAGTACCTGGATATGTTGCCAGGTAGAGACCTAAACTCAAAACTAGAACTTTTTCCACATTCTCTAAATCAGGTCCTTCTGATTTTCTCTATTTCTGGTAAGCATAAGAACCTTAACATCTATCTGACATATCTTGACCCACTTCCCATCTAAATTTTGTGAATTCCAATTCTCAAAATGCCCCCACTGCTACTAACACCCTAATTCAGCCCCTATCCCAACAACACTACCACAGTAATCTTCCTAAAGTACAACTGTCATCTCTCTCCAAAACCCTTCTGTAAGCTTTCCCATTGTCTCCAGGTTGTTGTATGTGACTTAATGCTAAAGCTTAACACTGATTTACTGTTTCAATGTCTAAAAGTTAAGTGTTGTTTTCCAGACCTTGGTTTGTGCTGCTCCCGTTTTAGTTAATCCTTAAATGCCAAAAACCAGTGCCACTCTTTACACATAATACTTTGTATGAGAAGCAGTATAGCTTGTGGTATAGGATCAAAGAATTTCCCCTGGTCAGGTTTGAGTCCAAATTCTGCTTTCAGGATAGCTAGGTAGCAAATAATTACTAGCTGTGTGACCCTGGGCAAGTCACTTAACCCCCATTGCCCAACCAAAAAAGAAAATTCTGCTTTCAAGATAACTGTGTGCGTTTGTCTCTGAGACAGTTTCTTCATCAGCAAAATGGAGATGATACCTATAGTGCTTACCTCACAGGCTTGCCATGAGGGTCCAGTGAGATAATTTAAATAGAGCATTTGGCAAACCTTACAGTTTTGTATATAAATGTCATCTAATACTACTGATCATATTCTGCTTTCTTTTATTAGTTTTATTTTAATTGAGGGTAGGGATTGCCATAGATATAGAAAGCAATAGATTCACAAAACCCAGGTTTGAGTCCTGGGCTCTGACCTTTTTTTTTTTTTTTTTGCTAACCGTGAAACTTTTTAACATTGTTTCTTGGTTAACAGAAATCTGCTTTCTCCTACCCTTCCCCCTCCTCCCATCCCACTTCGGGGAAGAAAATTCCTTATAACAAATATTCGTAGTTAAGCAAAACAAATGCCCTCACTGGCAATGTTCAAAAAATACATGTCTCGTTTTGTGCCCTGAATCCATCACCTTTGTGTCAGGAAGACTTCATCAGTCTTCAGGAATCATGGATAATCGTTGTGTTAATCAAGAATACTTAGAGCTTTCAAAATTTGTTACTACAGGATTATCATTCTATCAATTGCTCTAGTCATCATTCCTCATCAATTTGTACAAGTGTTCAGAATTGTTTGTTTTTATGATATTGATGTTAAATTGTTTTTTGGCTCTACTCATTTCACTCTGCATTAGTTCATACAGCATTTTCCATGTCTCTTTGAAAGCATCTATATCCTCATTTCTTAGAACACAATAACATTCCATTACATTCCTGTGCCATAGCTGTTCAGCCTTTCCCCTGTTAATGGGCGCTCCCTCAGTTTCTAGCTTTCACCCCCTGCAACAGGAACTGCTGTAAATGTTTATGTAGATGACCTTTACATCTCTTTGATCTCTTTGGATTTCTGGGGAATAGGCTTGTCATCTTTGCCAATGTGATAGGTGTGTGGTAAAATCTTGGGACTGTTTTAGTTTGTATTTCTCTAATATTTTAGGTCATTAAAAAAATAAGGTTTCACATAACCTGTTCTAATTGTTTGACCATTTAATCAGTTGGGGAATGGCTCTTATTTTTTTATAAATTTGAACTAGTTCTGTATATATGTTGGAAATGTGAAACTCTTGAATTACTTAACCTCCGAGTTTGTTTGCCTATACATAAAATAAGAATAACAACAGTACGGTACTATGTGCATCCAAAGGTTGTTATGAGGAAAATTCTGTGTAAACTCAAAAGTGCTATAGATGGTGAGCTCTTTGTATACTCCACAGTGCCTTGCATCTTTCAGATGCTCAATAAATGTTAAGTGAATGAATTAACGATTTCCTTGTTTGCCTAGAAGTTCCTCTTACAAGGAGGTATAAGAAGTGGGTAAATTCATACGCTCACACAAGCATGAAGATCCCCTTGTTTTGGGGGGAAAAGCTTTCATAGATTTGTGTCAAGGACCATATGCTGTAACATTGCATTTTAGACTATCCTTTGACAAAGACCTATGGTGGCATGTATATTTTAGTATGACTACTGGGTTAGGAATTATTGAAGAGATAGCAGCTATCAGCTTCATTATTTTTGATGGAATAAGATGCAGATAAGCAAAGTGTTTATTTAGGCCATTTTAGGATTTTCCAGGCAAAGAATCACTTTAGTATTTCCCAAACTCCATGTAAATTCCCAGACCAGAGCTTTTGGCCACCGACCTTAGTATCAATGGGGGTAACCTCAGACATACAACTTCGAGAAGACCTTGGGAGTGAAAGGATCCAATTAATGCCTCTCCAGGTTAGCCTTTTGACTAATATTGTATGTGTTCATTTATTGTATTACTCTAATGCTACCACATTACAAGAGAACCAAATGCTTCTAGTATTTTGCACTTTGCAGCTGCATTCTAAGTAATTTTAAAAAATGGTCTACAATTAGGTTTTCAAGAATAAAGATGGTGACAGGTGAGGGTAGAGCATAGTGTATTTGATTTCTTCTATGTTCAACTAATATTCAATCATAAAAAAGTAAAATATAGCAGATCTGTTCCAGAAGGACCCCTGTAGGTATGGCCATCCCTAACATAAAATACCCTAAAACAGACTTTACTTCCTAAAGCAAACTCCTACGCATATCAGCTGCTCGACGGTGGCTCCCCTTTTCAGTCATATGATTCAAAGGATCCCACCTACAGCATCTTCTTGACATATAAAACCTGGCAGTGAAAAGTTGGGCCTGATTCCAAATCTACCTGAGACATTCCACCAATTAACGGTGAAGTTAGGTTGGTCAACTCCTTTTAAAACAAAACAGAAAAAAAAAGTCAGAATACCTGGGTTCAAATCTGAGTTAAGCTTCTTAGTACCTGGTAACTTAGGTCATTTAATTGTCTTGGTTTCCATTTTCCTCTGCCTATAAAATGAGAGTGCTGGGTTGGATTCAATTCAATGACCATTTATGAGTATTCTTTATACCAGATACTGTTAGGCACTGGGGACACACAAATATAAACAATCCCTGACTTCATAGAGCTTACATTCTTCTTTTAATCGAGCCCATAGGAACTTGATTAATTCAAGGGACATCAATAAAGATGGAAAATTTTAAAAATGTTTTATAGTCACTTTATAAACATCCTAAATTGTGATAACTGAAATAAAATTTAAACTCTATTTTTCTTCTTGTTTAACTATGAGTTACACTGGATAAGACTGTGAATGGATTTTGATCTCAAGTCTGTGGAAATATCAAGATATACTAACAAAAATAAATATAATCTATTATCCTTCAGCTTCCTATCAGTGCACCATGCTGTAACTTGTATAGGGGCAATCTCTTCCTTTTTTAGACTAGTATAGCTCTGTAAAGGTAGAACTAGGTAATAAGTAGGTCAGCTAGGTGGCAAAGTCCATAAAGTACCCAGCCTTGAGTCAGGAAGTGACTATGAGTTCAAATCCAGCCTCAGACACTTACTAGTTGTGTGACCCCAGGCAAATCACTTAACCCTGCATGCCTCAGTTTCCTCATCTGGCAAATGAACTGCAGAAGGAAACAGCAAACCACTCCAGTGTCTTTGCCAAGAAAACCCCAAATGGGGTCAGGAATAGTCTAGCAGAACAGAAACAACTGAGCAACAACGAAGGAAAGTAGGTGGATGATCCACTGCTGGGTCCAAAACAAACCACATAAAACGGGCCTGGAAAAAGTAACATTTACTGGTTTGAGATTAATGAGACCTTTAAAGGAGGGAATGATCACAACACACAAAAAGAGCTCTAGGGACGAGAAGAGTAAAGCCGTGGGGAGCAGGATAAAGGAGGAAAAAGAAATAATACACATTTACACAGCACACACCAAACCACATTTTCCTTACACCAGCCCTAGCAGACAAGGCCAATATTATCATTATCTTTTACAGGTGAGGAAACTGAATCTCACAGAGGTGGTAACTTGTGGCTATCTCCGAATCTGGGCTCCTAACCCCTTTCTGCTCTTAATTAAGCAAGTATCCTGTTAGGTAGGTAGAGCTGCTCAACAGACCAGCTGGACAGAAAAACGAAATAAAGTTTATGAAGCAGATTGTGAAAGTACCCCCAAGATTACTATGTCTATTTCCCAAAGTCTTGCTCTGTGACCAGTGCACTTGCCTGGTAAGGTAATTCACAGAAATTAGACATCAATCTCGGGGGTTTTCACAAGATTCACGTCTGGCACATGACGTGATAGTAATGGGGTAATGCAAAATTATTCAAATATCTGCTAGATCTCTTTCTTTCTCTCCCTCCCCTCCTTTCCCTCCTCTTTCTCGCTTTCCTCTCCCATCTCCTTCCCTACTCCGTCCCTCCTCTCCCACCCCACGGCCCAGGTGTGGTGTAGAGTAAAGAAAAGCAACGAAATCTCACACCTGTTAGGTACTGCCGGGGTGACCTTGGAAAAGTCCCTTTTGAGCGGTCTCCAGGGTCCCTTCCAGATCTAAATTTATGAAACTAATCCCCGTGCTCTTTCTATAGCATGGACAGAGAAAGGTCAAGGGCAGAGGGAGGGTAAGGAGAGTGAAGAAAGCTTGACAGGTTAGACTGAAAGAAGAGCAGCCCACCTCTGGGAACCCAGAGCCAAGGACTTTGGCCCTATTCGAGGTCCGCCCCCAGCCAGCCCCGCCTCTGTCTCCTCCTCCTGCGACACGTGACCCTACAAATTCCAACTGCCTCAGAACGCGGGAAGGTTGGTTGCTTTCTCCCAAGGGTCCCAGGCCCTGGGATGGAGGTGCGGGGCGCCAGGACCCGGCAGACCACGCGCCGCTCCAACAGGGCCGGGGTCGGTGAAGCGCGTGAGGAAGAGGAGGGAACTCGGGGCGCTCAGCCTCGGCGTGCCAGGAGCAGCCCCCGCCGGAGTGCGCCGCAGGCAGAGGAGGTGCAAAGCGCCGCGCCTAGCTCCGACCCGAGGCCCAGGCGCTCCCTGCGGAGCTCGAGTGTGAACGCTCGGGAGGAGGCGGAAGAGGAGGAGAAAGCTGCAGCGCAAAGCGCCACGCCTAGCTCCGGCCGCTTCACCCCTGAGGAAGCACGGAGTTCTGGACCCCAGCGCGCCCTGCGCAGCTTTAGCCAGTACCCCTGGGAGGGGGAGAAGGAAGCGCTGAGCACGCAGTCCCGGCGTGCCCGGAGCAGTGGCTGCAGGAACGCGCGAGGAGAGGACGAGGAAGGCGGAGTTCCAGGCCTGGGCGGCCAGTGCGCAGCACCGGCAAGAACGCCCAGGAGGATGTGCTGGCCAAACGCAACACCCGCGGCCAGAACGCGCGGGAGGAGGACGAGGCAGAGGGCCGGAGGACCTGTTCCCCAGGCGCCAAACATAGCTTAAGCAAGAACACCCGGGAGGAAGTGGAGGAGATGTGGAGCACCAGGTCCCAGCGCCCCAAGCGCAGCACTAGTGGGGACGAAAAAGTTCAGGGCGCTACACCTATGAGCGCCAGAAGCAGCCCGGGCAGGAACGCACGAGGGGAGAGGGAGGCGGCGCCGCAGCCGGGTGCCAGGTCCTGGCGTGCCAGGAGCGGCACTGGCGGGGACGTGAAAGTGCGGGAGGAGGAGAAGAAGCGCGTACTGGGTACCAGGTCCTGGAGGCGGGTGGCGTCTGCCCCAGTCAAGTACGCACTTGGAGGGGAGGATGAGGCTGCGCCACGCACCAGAGGCGCTACGCGCCGGCCAGGTGCTGGAGACGAAGTGCGGGCTGGCACGTCCGGCAACCTGGGCGCGGAGGCGTGCGGAGAGGAGGAGCTGGTGCGGAGGGCACTGCGGCCCCCGCCCACCCCGTGCGGGGATGCTAGAAACTACGCACTGGACACCAGCGCCCAGCGGGCCATGCCCGGCAGCAGTAGCAGAGATGAGTTCCCTCCAGCTGCCTCCTATGGGAAAGAGAGTGGAGAAGAAGAGAGGAGGGAGGAGGATGAAGAGGATGAAGACTGTAATATGGTCCGGCAGCTGCTCAGGTTCTTACCCCTTCCCCTACCCCGTTTAGCCTCACCCCTAGCTCTAAGATTGTAGCAGTTGGTAGCAGATCTCTATTAGAGAATCCAAACCCTCACTTTACAGGTTAGGCAACTGAGGGCCCAAGAAGGGTAGTAATATATTCGGAGCTGTCAAGAAGCTAGGAAATAGCCCAGCCCAGGCTAACCAGCATTCTGGCCATGCCCTCTCCAAGTGGGGGAGTTACCTGTTCTTTCAAGCTTCATGTTTCCACTAGTGTACTGTTTTCTAATCTGGACAAGGAGGGTGTTTCTTATTCATTTGCGATAATTTAGTGGCCGAAATTCAGGATTTAGGCTGGGCAGACTCTTTTGGAGATGGGGTCTTTCGAAAATCTTAATCCACTCTTTTTGCCTGTTGCTGCAGCATTATTTAGATAAGTAAGCTGTTTTTAGGTGTGGGTTTTTCTTGGGTAAACTGTGTTTGACTACTGGAGAGGTCACTCCACCTTTTAAAGCAATTTATTGAGAACCTAAGGAATACTATAAACAGTAAATCCCTGCTTTTGGAAGAATCGAAATTATGTAGCTGTTTCCTACTGCTAATTGAGAATATTGAGTTGTTTTCCCTGTCTGAATTTTTCTTTAATCTTAAAAAGGCTTTTATTTTGAAAGCCCCATCCCCTAGTGACATTGGGTTAAATCTTCAGACTTCTTCAAGCAGCATTTAAAAAATATTGCCCCAAACAACTCCAGGACTTTTTAATGGTTAAGCAAAGGAGTGATAGCCTTGCCAAAGAAAAGCACTGTCTTAAAATTGGTACCATGTTCATTTGAATGCTTCATAAAACTGCATACTGATTATTTACCATTATTTGCATAATGATTCCTGTTTTTCCTAGTGTTCTTTGAATTAGTTAGAAGCATTGAAACAATTCCCTTGTGTGTCAATTATACTTTTAAATATCTGTAAGGAGAGGATTAAACATTCTCTTGGTTGTTCCTTCCAGTGGTTCAATAGCTGCTTCCAACCGTGACCTATTTCTTTGGAGACACAGGGCAGCTGGTCACGATCCTTCCCTCTAAAAACATTGTTCTTGATCTTCGGTAGCCATTGACCAGTTGTACATTTTCACATATTGTATTTTTGTTCATTTCCTCTTGACCTGTAGAAAATTTGGAAGCTTTTAGTTCTCCCCTCAGAAACTGGGCAGACTATTTGAGTAAGCAGTATTCCTATGGAAATATACGGCAGTTATATATAGTAGAGTATATAATACTGTAATATTCCTATGGAAATCACTACCTTGTTCTAACTTTGAGCTTCCCTTTATAGACTAAAGGATCAGATTAAACAACAGCTACTGGAATATAAGGCAGAGGTTGAAGCAAGTAAGTCTTCATTTAGCTTTTGTTATCATCAGCTTTGATTGTAGAGAGAATAATAGAAAACTGATAAATTCTTTTTCTTGTTGTTCGGTCTTGCCTGATTCTTTGTGATCCCATTTGGGGTTTTCTTGGGAAAGATACTGGAGTGGTTTGCCCTTTCCTTCTCCAGCTCATTTTACAGATGAGGAAACTGAGGAAAATAGGGTGAAGTGACTTGCCGAGGGTCACACAGCTAATAAGTGTCTGAGGCCAGATCTGAACTCAGGAAGATGAGTCTTCCTGACCCCAGGCCTGGCACTCTTATTCACTGTGACACCTAGCTGCCATTAAATTGTTTAGGGGAAAGGAAATCTGCTTTACAGAAAATTGTGCTTGTCCAAATACTCATTGCCCACTTTGTGCATATCTTTTTCCGTGCCTAACAATGCTACAAAATAAAATTTATACTCGGTCCTTGGGCCTTCAAGAACTTTCAGAGAGTGTGATACGGTAGAAAAGGTACTAAATTTGAGTCAGAACTGTGTTTAAATCTTAGTTGCCATGGTTTTTTTATGTGACTTCAGGCAAGTTGCATCAATTCTCTGGGCTTCAGTTTCCTCAACTGTAAAATGAGTCTTGAATCAGTTACATCTTTAAAGCTCTCTCTAGTAAGCCTTATTAATCTAGTTAGACAGACAAGACTTACACCTAAAGCAATGAAGTTGTTTTGTATTTCACCTTGAGGTGTCTCATACAGCAAGGCAGCATCTGAAGGACTAAGGGTTAAAATGAGTGTAATATACTGTAATCATTTTGTAATGCCAGAGAGAATGGGAAAATCATTATGGGCTGCAAAAAGTAAGGTTTTTCTTTTTAAAGGTAAGGTTTTTTTTAAGGCTTGAAAGATCTGTAAGATTTGTATAAGCATAGGGAGGAGGAAGGGAATTCACAGCTCAGAGTTGGAAATAGCTTCTTGTTGGAAACAGTGAGAAAATTGTTTTGTCTTAAGTGGTGGGCTCAGGTTTGGGAGATGGATTACACAGGACCAGATTATGGAGAGCCTTGAATACCAGATTGAAGATGAAGAAGCAATGATTATTTTCAAGTGGAGTTTGGGAGTTGGGGATTGCATGATGAAAACAATGTTTTAGGAAGACTTAATTGCAGTATGCAGGAGGGATTAGATTAGGAAAAGTTTAGATGCTGTTCAGTTGTGTCTGACTCTTGGTGACCTCATTTAGAGGTTTTCTTGGCAAAATCCTGAAATGGTTTACTATTTCCTTCTCTAGCTCATTTGCCAGATGAGGAAACTGAGGTAGACAGGACTTAAGTGATTTGCCCAGGGTCACAGAGCTAGGAAGTGTCTGAGGCCAGATTTGAACTCAGCAAGATGAGTTTTCCTCACTCCAGGCCTGGTGCTTTATCTGCTGTGTCACCTAGCTGCCCAAGAGTAGATGTAGGCAAACTAAATTGAGGGCATCAGTCATAAGCTAGAGTTGTGTTAAATGTCCAAAAGCATCAAATAGCATATTTGAAAGAGCAGGAAAGCAATTGGCTTAGTTAGCTTGAAGACTCCTCCCCACCTACATATAGCTTTTAAATCCCTAAGACAAGGATTTCTGGAATATTGCTTCCTTTGTAATCCACAAAAGATGTAAAGAACAGAACAAAGTGTTAGGTTTAAGCTAAGAATTACAATAAATCCTTATCACCTTTTATGTACCTCTGTCCCTTCAATTGAATGCTATACTTGAATTTGGGTATTGGGGCAGCTAGACAGCACAGTAGATACAGTGCTGGGCCTCAAGTCAGGAAGACTCATCTTCCTGAGTTAAAATCTAGGTGTGGGACCCTGGGCAAGTCACTCAACCTCTGTCTGTCCCAGTTTCCTCATCTGTAAAATGAGCTGGAGAAGGAAATGGCAAACCACTCCAGGATCTCTGTCAAGAAAACCCCAAATGGGGTTACTGAAATGACTGAAGAGCAACAGCAAGACCACATGCTGCAGATCTCTTTTCTGACTCATCTCAAACTTATTCCCAAGGACCAAATAATAAAAGCAGCCTTTGATGCTCCTTTCCAGACATTTTTATAAGGCAAGTCTCATCAAGGAGTGATAAAGGAGGGCCTGATAGTTGGGACCTAGCCTTGTAGGTCTCTCTTCTTCTAGACATAATCCCCTTGGATATCTTTTGTGTATGCTTTTATGTGTTCTTGTTTCTCTCGATGGTATGTAAGGATTGCTTTATTTATGACCTTTCATCTCTAGCACCTAGCAACAGTACCTGATACATAACTAAGTGCTTGTTTGCTGGTTGATTGTAGGACTTAATGCATCACTTACTGTCATTTCCTACTAGAAGTTTGTAATTGCAAGGATCTTGGCTGCCTTTTTATTATGAACCTAGGTGTACTCTGTACTGATATTGTACTTTTTTACAACGTCATCTTTTACATTTTAAAAAGATTTATGCATTACAAAATATAATTTCTCTAACTAAAGACAAGGTTAAGGCTAGGATATATGAAGTGTTTGAATGTCTATGGGAGTTTCTTTACAAGTGATTCCTTTATTCTTTTTTCTTTTTTTTATTCTGTTCACCTCTTGCTGTTGCTGATTCTGCAAATGTTCATAATTAAAACTTGAGCAACTTACAGGTCCCCTCTGTTAAACTTGCTTACAAACCAATATGTCAGATGTTATCCTAAGAATAAGTATTCAGGAGGCCTAGTGAGTTAGCCTGTCACAATAATAGTGGTAACTGTTCTTTCCAAGAGAAAGCTAGATTGGTATGGGATTGGTGTGTTTCTCATGGCCTTAAGTATGTTTTTCCTTTTCTGCCTTTTCAACTTAGAACATCTAGACCAGGTTGTGCTTAGCCTCTGATGAGGACTGATATTTGTGGAAAGACTTTGTTTTGTATGTATGTCCTTCAGTTGAAGCCATCTGTTTTTCTATATTAGTAACTTTAAAAAATATTGCTTATTTTTTAGGTAAAGAGAGTCCTACAGAAGAACTTGCAGAAGGTGACTTACTTCAAAGGTATGTCTTCTCAGTTTCCTTTTATGGGACTTTACCTGGATTTAGTGAAATTTCCCTTCTTCACAGAGTTGTGTGGGTCAAATGAGATAATACCAGTGAAGCTCCTGACACAGAATCTGGCCCATAGTATGCTCTTAATAAATGTTTATTCCCTTCTCCTCTTCAGACACTGTCTTCCATTCACTTTATCTTGGGATTTAGTCTCAATGGTGCTTAGTCTCATCTAAAAGACTTTGAATTTTACTAAATGCCTACTCTATGTTCTATTCACTTTGCTAAGTACCACAGATACAAATATAGAAGAGAAAGGTGCTACCTTTGGGGTTGTGAGCGAGCCAGAAGGCAGTTGATTGTCACAAACTTTCCAGAGCAAAGGGTAATATTATTTTGATGATAATTCCCAGAGCAACTGGTAGAAAAGGAGCAGATGGTATGCAGTGGAAGCAGGGAAGATAGCAGATAGCAAGGTGCCCACGTCTGGACCTAGATGTAGTGGGCCAGTCGAGTTTGAAGTTATTAATCAGGACAGCTCATTTCCAAAGCTGAATACATAATTACCACCTCCATCATGTCTGACCCTACCTCAGGTTGGGTGGGAGCATACTGTCTGGAGGTTCTGGTCTGCAGAGCATCCTGTTGAGAAGAAGGGGGGTAGTAGTTGGAAAGGTGCCTGAGTAGGCTCAGGTTTCCTGGTAGATGAATGGATGCTTACAATCCCCTTGGAATACCCTTTCTTCCATGCTACATAGTAAAATTCCAATCCTTCAAGACCAGCTTAGGTCTTATTTTTCTATGGAAATCTCTGATCCTTGTTACCCACTTGCTTTCCTGAGATCCTGTTGTACAACTAGGAGGATATACTTAATAATTGGCAATTTGATGTAGTGGAAAGAGTTTGGGACTTGGAGTCAGAAGACCTGGGTTCGAATTCCTATTCTAACACTACCCCTCTATAAAATGGAGATGCCTACCTCACAGGGTGCTTGTGAAGCTCTCGTGAGATGATAACATTCATAACAAATTCTATAAACTTTAAAGTGCTGTATAAATGCTGGCCATTATTTGAATGTGAACTGGCAATTGGTTCTTTTTATGGAGTGCTTTCTGTATTTGGCACTGTCCTAGGTACTGTGGGAGATGTAGAAATAAGAGACCTGGTCATTTAATACTGAGGCTGATTATAGTTCAGTTTGGGAGACAAGATGACTGTGAACTAAATAATAATGAACACTAGGTGTAAATGCAATTAATGCTAAATTATGTGAAAAGTAAAGTAGTTGTAAAATGAGGAAGATCATTGAGAACTAGATTGGTCAGAAGAGACTTTATGCAGGACTTAAGTTCGTTTCTAAAGAAAGGCTAAGATGTAGAAATTTGGCTACAGCCAAACAATCATAAATATTTGTTTAAAATATAGTTAACTGGAAACATTTCGTTCCCTTCTGCGTTTATTACAGCATAAGATGGTACCTTTTTTCTCATTCGCAGAATGAAATCTCTTTCTGCCAGCAATGGTGTGTTTGAAACTTTACAAAAATACAAAACAATTTCCTGAAGTTCTTACAATACTTCCATTAACTTTTTTTTATTGTTATTTTTAATAGGATTGAAGATCTAGAAAGGAAAATGGAAGAGGTGAAGATTGAGTTAGAAATGAAAACTTTAGCTTTAAGAAGGTAATTTGGAATTTTAAAGGTATTTAACAAACAAAATATGTTATTTTCTGAATAAGTTCATTTGAAGTAACATAACATCTGGGTGGTACAGTGGATAGAGTACAGAATTTGGGTCAAGAAGACATGATATTAAATCTGGCCTCAGGCACTCTAGTTGCCTGACCCTGGGCAAATTACTTAACCTCCGTCTCAGTTTCCTCCTATGTAAAATTGGGATAATAATAGGACCTACCACTCAGGGTTGTTGTAAGGATCAAATGAAATAATATTTATAAAGTGCCCTGTAAACCTTAAAGCACTATATATAAATCCTAGCTACTAGTCTAATAACTGCAAACAGCAAGTCATTTGAAATAATGAAAAAGAATTGGAAACTCATATCAAGGCAACATTTTTTTAAAATATGCAGACCAAATCCCATTACCAGTGAGTAGGAACTATAGGATTCTTTTGTGTTATTGAAATTTTGTCATATTAAGTTGCTGTTCCTGCTCTGAAGTCTTATCTTGTCTCATCATAGAAAAACTAATTGTAGATACAATGCAGTAACCCCAGTCAAAACTCCAAAAAACCTCCAAATTTTTTGGAATTAGAGGGAATGGTTTCCTGGTACTGTATTGTGATACAGAGCTGATGTTGCCAATAGAACATAAGCTTGGGTAGATTCTTCCTAGACGGGAAGGCTTCCAAGGAAGGATAGCCCTAATTATAAACTGTGCCTGTCATCTGAGGACTACCCTAGGTGAATTTGGAGAGACTCATCAGGGTGTAGGGTATGAGGTGGTGAACTTTTTTGGCCGTAGCAACTTCTGAAGACCTTCTACTGAGCCAAAGCAGAACTGGAAGGGAAGAAAGTACACAGCATGTATAGTTTGTCCCTTCCTTACTGTAGTAGAGCAATGGTTTAGGAAACAAGATTATCTATATAGTACCAAAATTTGCCTCATGCTTTAATTTAAAAAATAACAACAGAAAGCTGTATCATATGTTCAAGGGAAAATTCACAATCCATGATGCTGTTTTCTCTATTTGGTTTGTCCTGAATGTTTTTCCTTATCGTGTAATAGAACATTTTACACTATTCCAGGGTCCAGGTTGCACATGCTCTTCAGAAAAAACTGGAAAAAAAGGACAGTGAATCTGAGTAAGATTTTAATTTTTCCTTCACTTGATGAGGATAGAAATAAACTTGAGTGAAATCTCCCCAAATACAGTATAGGTTATTAAAATTAAATGCCTTTCTTTCATGATCAATGGGTAGCAGAACTATAAGGGAATGGCGATCAAAGATATGCTCTAAGCATTGAAGGAAAACCACCATTTTTCTGGGTTTGGAGTTTTTTTTTTTTAAAGTGTATGACTGGTAAATGAGTCTCTGAGGAGCCTGGAGGGGAATGATGTTACTGAGGGAGGGAAGATGTGTAAGAGCAAGGGATTACTTCTTTGTATATAGCCAAGATTCGCATAAACCTGATTAACCCAGGTATGAGGTAGAAAGGAGCCATTTCACGTGTAGCATTAACAGAAGGTGTGAGAGGATCCTTTATTTAAAGGGTAGGACTCCCTGGCCTCCCCTTTGAGCGTCACTAGAAAGGTGAGAAAAGACATTTGGCAGTTCAGTTTCTCTGAGCCTTAATGTTCCTTATTTGTAAAATCAGGGAGTTGGACTGGAGTGGAGAGTGGTGAATTCTAAGCTAAGTCTAGAGGTACTTCTGAAGGGGCTGAGTGTAAAAAGCAGGCAGTTTGTAGAGAATAACTGGGAAAGATGGGGACAAGAATAGATTTTTCCTTGGGTTGCATTCATTTGATGGGAGATGAATTTAGTTCCAAACAATCAGCAACTTTGTATGAATGAACTTTAGGAAAATACATAGATTAATAAATTATCTGGTTGTGTTCTTGCACTATATACACCTTGTCCCACAAACTCTGTATGGCCACAGTCAAATTTGTTATGTTCTCTGCTCTTATAGTGGAAATAAGTGTCTTGTCAGTGGAAGTAAGGCAGAAATGATGCCTGGTTTTATTTAAAATCCAGATTGTCCTTCAAGATTTATTGTGTCAGGAATTGATTTTCCCCATTAAGTAAGACATTTTGGAAACTCACTACATTGTAAGACTTTCGTTATTATTTCAGTTCTTTCAATGACCAACATTATTTTTCCCATTGAAATGCATGTAAGATTTTAAGGTAAAAGTCATATGTCATTTAGTAGCAATTTGCTTTTTTCATTAAATTTTTGTGGCAGGTGAGTCTCTGCTTTCACTCCTCCATGAGAAGTAAATTTATTTTAATTGACATTTTTTTGTTGTTGTTCCTTGTTCAGATCAATCTTGGCAATTTTGAAAAACATTTTAACTCTTAATAGTTCAATACTGAAAGCACAGCAGGTACGTATCTTCCACTTTATATAACTTATCTACTTGTGATTTCTGATATCATCGCTTTGTTAATAATTCTGCTTTATTTCTAGTCCTGACCTAAGCACTAAGCTTAATTCATCATTGTCTTTCCTAAACCAGTCCCAGCCCTTCCCAATTTTTTTTAAAGGCATTTGGGGTTAAGTGACTTGCCTAGGGTCACACAGCTAGTAAGTGTCAAGTGTTTGGTCAGAGGCCAGATTTGAATTTTGGTCCTCCTGACTCCAGGGCCGGTGTTCTATCTACTGCACCACCTAGCTTGTCCCCTCCCTTCCCAATTTTCACACCTCTGTCGTTAACAACATAATTTTCCGAGCCATCTTGGCTTCATTTTTTTATTCTTGTCTCTCCTTCATCCCTTATCCCATCTATTTTTCATTTTTATGAATTCTCTCCTCAATTTAAATCTATAACTATTAAGCGACTTTATACTCTCTGAAGGCATGGACCCCATGCTCATCTAAATCTGCCGCAGTGCTCTGCACACATAAGCTCATGGGCATTCGATACATTTTTTAAAATGAAAAAAAATGTGAAAATGAATTTCAGTGAGATTCTTGCTGAAGGGAAAGAAATGCACTGAAGCATACCACCTGACTATACTTTATGGAGCCAAATGTACTAGAAGTATCTTAGTGTGGTGTGATCTTACTGCAAGGCTGGAGTTCCAAACATGAATTTCCTGATGACTGTGTGGGTAAAAATGTATTAATTCATAACACAAGCAAATTCCTATTATGTGCAATTCCTTGGAATGCTTAGATTGCTTTGTTATAATAGAAGTTGGTTAAAATGAATGTTTCCATGGGTGGATATATATGAACTGATGCCAGTGAAGTAACCAGAGCCAGGAAAAAACCCTCCACATTATGCAAGATGACTATAATGGTATAATATAAGAACAGAAGGACTTGACTGGTCAATGTTTGATTGAAAGTGACCAAACTTGTGCTCAGAGAAAGGTTGAGAAAAGGGTCATAATGGGCACTGAGTTTTATTTAATTTGTAGAGATGGTGGGTATAGTTTTGGTTTTCTCAAAGGGATGTATTTCAGAACATTTTTTAAAGTGTTGCTAGGGGCAGCTAGGTGGCGCAGTGGATAGAGTACTGGCCCTGGCATCAGAAGGACCTGAGTTCAAATCCAGCCTCAGAAACATAACACTTACAAGCTGTGTGACTCTGGGCAAGTCACTAACCTCCAATTGCCTCACATACACACACAAAAAATCCAAAATAAATAAATAAACAAAAAGTGTTGCTAGGAACCATGTTCCCAGTTTGTAAGACCTTAAATAGAACAAGTGGTTAAGCTTTTCCTGTAGTCTACTTGCTAATTATCAAATGCTTTGACACCCAGTTGAGGTCAGGGGCCAAGTATCATACTAGATCTAATCCTGTTCCTTCTTTTTGTGTCAGTTTTGGTTTGTATGTTTGGCTCTTTTAGATGACTAAAGGATTGGGTTGGAATAAGTAGGGCCTCCTTTGACATCTTTGTCTTTAAAAACCTACGTTTTAATTGTATTTGCCATACTTAGATTCAACCAGATTTATCGTTTTCAGTGTTCCCACCTATGTTCCTTAAAAACAGCTAGGGAATTGAAATCCATCTGTGTTTTGCCCATGTAACCACACATATTAGTGGTGGTACTGCTAAGTCATGTCCTAAGAAATAAGCATCCTCGGGGCAGCTAGGTGGCGCAGTGGATAGAGCACCGGCCTGGAAATCAGGAGGACCTGAGTGCAAATCCAGACTCAGACCAAACACTTGACACTCACTAGCTGTGTGACCCTGGGCAAGTCACTTAACCCCAACTGCCTAAAAACAAGAAAAACAAAACAAAAAAAAGAAATAAGCACCCTTTTAACATATATTCTTTTAATGTTAATCTTTTAATTAAAATCTGGTTTTTTTCTTAAATGCCAAATAATATGGATTCTCATTTATTAAGTGGTTTATTAATAAACTTAATTCTTAGTTTGATCTTTAGTGGGGACTAGTTCTGTTGGAAAGGCAGTATAGGTAGTGGGGGTTGTATGTACAATTCTGGATTTCTGGAGCTTTTTTTAATGACCATTTGTGATAGGACTTACTATTAAGGTGTTAAACATTTATCAGACAAGACTTAATTCAGTCTTCTTGATCGCAATTTCTTTTTGGGGGGTTGGGAAGCAAATGGGGATAAATGACTCGCTCAGGGTTACACAGCTAGTAGGTATCTGAGGTCAGATTTGAATTCAGGTTCTCCTGACTGTGCTCTTTCTGTCCACTGTGTCACCTAGATACCCTGCTTGATTGCATTTTTTTTTTTGCAGTCGGGGTTAAGTGACAGGGTCACACAGCTAGTAAGTGTTAAGTGTTTGGTCTGAGGTCGGATTTGAACTTAGGTCCTCCGGACTTCAGGGCCAGTGCTCTATGCACTGAGCCACCTAGCTGCCCCTTGATTGCATTTCCTATCCAGTACTCTGTTCCAGGTCTACTCAATTAGCTATTTAAAATACTTAATACTCTACCTTTTGAGTTGATAAAGTAAAGGGAAGGTGGTAGGCATATGCCAGAATGAATGAAAAAACAGTTATTAAAAGCTTACTATGTAAAGTACCATGCTGGATGCTGGGAAAACAAACTGAAAAGTTAGGGTTCTCTTGAAGAGCTCACATTTCTTTTTTTATTTGTTTTTTGCTTTTTTTGGTAAGGCAGTTGGGGTTAAGTGACTTGCTCAGGGTCACACAGCTAATAAATGGAATTGAACTCAGGTTCTCCTAACTCCAAGGTCGGAGTTCTATCCCCTGAACCACCTAGCTGCCCCAGAGCTCACATTTCTAATGGGGAAAACAAGATATTGGAGGTTTTAGCTACAAGTCAGATGGAAAGGTTCCATGGTCCATAGAGTACAGCAGCAAAATAGATAATATTACGTCTTCTTTAATTTCCACTGACAAATAATCAGTTAGTGTTACTGAATCATTTGACAGTGCCAAGGTCTGGGGTGGTAAGAGCTTTTCTGAGTCTAAGAGAGCTGTGACTGCAGAACCTGCAGAAATAATCGCCAGGCCTGATCTCCAGTGGGGTTGCTTCCCCGGATGATGGCTGTGGCTCCCTTCCTCCGCCTATCGCCACCTAGAGGTAAGACTGGTGGTGTTGAGGCTCTTAAGGTCTAGGCCCTGAACTGCTGCCATCAGGTCAGGTGAGATGAAATAGCTGCCCTAACGGTGACTCGAAATCTTCTGGACGTTGGTACCTGATCCTCCTTAATTGTAAATCTCTGTTGAGGATTCACACTTTATCCTGTGTATATCTTGTTTGTACACGGTTGTTTGCGTGTCGTCTCCCCCGTTTTACTCGTAGTCCCTCAAGAGCAGGGACTGTCTTTTAGCTTTCATTGTACCCCCAGCATTTAGCATGGTGCCTGGCACACGATAGGTATTTACTCAATGCTAGTGGACTATAAAGTTTGCTGGCACAATGCTTATTTCCTGTTTTTAAATCTGAATAACAGCAAACTCGGGACCTGGAGGAGAAAATGCTTGAAGTTAAGAAGAAGAGATTAAGTATGTGAAATTCCTATAATTTACATCGTTACTTTCTGTGTATTGAAATGAATGGGTAGATTTTATTGATGTGGTTGGTTATCGTCTCCAGTGATACAGAGAGCAATCCCTCCTGGCCTGTCCATCCTGTGGGGTTCTTTTTATTTCTTTTCCTAATTTTACCACAGTAAATCTGCTAACCTCCAGGAGACCTACCTTCCTTCCTCTCTCCCTCTCCCCTTCTCCCCCCTCCCCTCCCCCATCTCCCTCTCTTCTTCCCTCCCCCCCAGCTCTCCTTTCTCTCTTACTTTCTCTCTCACTCAGAAACAGTTTTCTTTATTTCATTGCTACAAAATAAACACTTATTTCCTCACCATTAGTTCATGAAAACAAAGTTGATGGCTATTTTCATATCTTTACAAATCATACCAAATTATAATCTGAAATGTCCAAATGTGCAATCATTTAGCTGTTTTGCCTTACACTTTGTGCCTCTGTGTGCTAGTATCTCTGGCTGCCAGACATTCCTAGATTGATGATAAAATGTCAACATGTGGAAGAGATACAAATTCTTTTAATTTATTTCAATGAAAAAAATTTAATTTCCTTTTCACTTCCTCCCAACCTTGCACCCATCTCAAAAAATAAAAATAAAACCCTCGTAACCAGATATGCATAGACAAAACAAGTTCTTGAATTGGTCATATCCAAAAAATAGATGACTTCAAATTGAACCCATCACCTGTCTGTCAGGAGGTAGAGAGTGTATTTCATCTTTGGTCCTTGGGAAACCAATGAGTGAAGACTCTAAGTCTCCTAACATGTGTTAATACTTATATTTCTAAAGCATTTTGGCCTAGGTTTACTAGTTGGGCAGCTGGGATAAGCCAAAGGACAGTTTCTTTTTTTCTGGATCAAATGAGATAACATTTGTAAAGTACTTAACACAGTGCCTGGCACATGGTAGGTGCTTAATAAATGCTTACTCCCTTCCCCTTGTGCTTTCACTATTTCTGCCCTTGAAAGTATCTGTGACCCTAGCATCATCCAGCTTGTCCCACTGGGTCAGAATTTTAAAGATAATCCTGAGCAGTACATCTGACAACTCCAAATGCAAAAGCTGAAAGGACATGCTACAAGTTGAAAGGCTGGGCTCCATATCGTAGAATAGCTGAAGGTCATAGTTACCTCATGTCCTTTTGACGTTACTAGGATGCCAGTGGCCCATGTGGCCTATCCTTGGGCTTTTCTTCTCACCATGTGACCAGCCCATGTTTGTTCATGTGTTTCTTTCATGGCATTCTTAACTCTAGACAATCATCATAGTTTGTATGTGATCTGTTGTACCATGTGCCTCTCCATTGTCCTCTGACTGATTCTCATTTTCAACACTTTATAAACTTGTTTTGTGACTCACATCTGAGTCCACAGCAATATTGGTAGAATTTTGTTATTACAAAAGAAGCCTTTTATTTGAGTAAGAAGTTTAGGGTCATTGAATGATGCAGTATATCAAAGGCATTCAAGCCCATATTCTTCTGTTTAACTCTGGGCCTAACTCATTGTGCATTTCCAGTGTCTTTCCAAGATTTAGATCTATCTATCTATCTGTCTATTTTTTTTAAGGCACTTGGGGTTAAGTGACTTGTCCAGGGTCACACAGCTAGTAAGTATCAAGTGTTTGGTCTGAGGCTGGATTTGAACTCAGGTCCTCCTGACTTCAGGGCAGGTGCTCTATCCACTTTGCCACCTAGCTGCCCCTATCTATCTTTCCTGACGGACAAAGTTTTGTATTTTACAATAACTGATAAATAGCAATCCTCATACTATATTCGTCCACCTATTTAAAGGCTAGTGGTGGCTGTTAAAAGTGAGAGATTAAATGGATTTTTAGCACCACAGATTTGCAGACTAGTATTCTGGGAGTTGTAATAGTGGATGTTTCTATGGGGAAAATAGTTTTAAAGCAATGTGAACCTGGTACAAATGAATTTTAGATGGTAAATTGCTAAGTGATAAGTGAATGTTTTTTGCCATTGAAAAAGTCATTTATGGAGGTACAGCCAAGATGGCAGAGTGAAAGCAGAGACTTGCCTGAGTGCTGCCCCGGATCTCTTCAAATACCTCTAAAAAGAAAGTCATTTATGGATAAAAACACCTCAAGAATGACTGCTTTATTGCTGTTGAAAATTTCCTTTCTCTTCTCTAAAATGTTCCTAAGATTTCAATACTGTAAACATACCTTTTCATACTTGTAGATTCTGATTTGTCATATTTTATTGTTGTAATATTTTTTCGGGTATTTTAAATTTAACAGTGTTTAAAAAAGCTGGGGAAGAAAAGCTACTAGAAATACAGGCTGAGAATAAAAAGAAAAAAGATGAATTGAACCTCCTGAAAAATAGTGCCATGTTAACTAAAATGAAGAAAAGCCTACAAAAGGAGATAGATTCGACTACCATTATTCAAAATGTTTTTCAGGTAATGTATATGTGAATTTGGAGGGCAAAATTTGTATCGGGGGAGGAACTTCAATATCTTAACCAATTGCTCTTGGGAGACACTGTGATTGGCATAGTAGAAGGCTCATGGTCCTGAGAGAGTGGGAACCTGAATTCAAGTCCTGTCTCGGCCCATGATTTGCTTGTGACCTTGGGTTACTCACTTAACATCTTTGTCCTATAGTTTCTTCATTTGTTAAATAAAGAAGGAAGGTCCCTAAAACCCCTTCAGCACTAAGATTCTTTGACTTTATATTAATTAAGCATTTAATAGAATCACAGGATTTCAGACTTAGAAGGGGCCTTAGCAATCAGCTCAAACCTACATCTAAAAATTAATACTTCTGCATTATAGAAGACCTGACAAGTAGTCATCTGTTTTTTTCTTGAAGCTCTCAATCGAGAGGAAATCCACTATCCACCGAGGCAGCCTATTTAAACATGCGTGTGTGTGTGTGTGTGTGTGTGTGTGTGTATTTGTATATAGTCAATTTTTAAAGATCTTATTTTCTTTGTCTCCTTTTTTTTCCTTTTATCTATAAACCATGGGTTCCTAACTGGAGTCTATGAACCCCAAAGAGGTTAGTGCATGGATTTCAGGAGAGTCTGTACACTTGGATAGGTGGAAAATGACTTCTTTATTTTCACTCACTCGTAATTGAAATTTAGCATTTCCTTCAATTATGAATGTAGTCAACAAACCTTTCTGAGGAAAAAGGGGTTCATGGGTTGAACTTTTCTCTCTCTGTATAAAGACCTTGTATACTTGAATTTTGCCACTATTTTTTTGAAAACCAGATCATTTAAGTTACATGTTGGTTTATGTCACTTTTAGACTTCAGATAAAATGGAGAACTGTCGTAGGTTCATTGGATTTTCACTAAAGATATGTTGCACAGTGAAATAGCTTCAAAAGTCTGTAGCAGAGAATTATGCCTATTATTTTTCTGCTCTTGGTTTACTATCAGAAATAGAAAAATCTGAAGCTCAAAGCTTCTGAGTGTAATGATTTATTTACAAGGCTAGCAATTGCCAACAGATCAGGTCTACTGACTTCTGTAGTTAGAGATAAAGGAATGATTTACAGAGCTTTTTTTTTTTCCCATATCAGAAGAAAAGGAATTACAAATTAGAGAAATCTTGAGACTTGTTTTGAAAATATCCAATTGGACAAGGCAGGTCATTTGACCAGTGTTTCTTGGGCTTTACAAATACAACTAGCAGCTGTTGCCAACATTTGACATGTGGGTTTGTCGGGGGCCTAAGGAGGAGTTTCTAGGGTGTGACAGTTCTTAAATCTGACATTCTCCTGGATCGGGTCTGTCTTTGTTAACCTGTCTGTCAAACTGAGGTTGCCTTAGAAATCTTGTCCTACAGCTGTAGCATTTGCAATTAGAAGTGTTACTTTTAAAGGACATAATATAATTTACTAAACAGCTACTAATATAGCTACTAAAAAGAAGACCTTCAGGAAGCTCAAGAAAAGGGGACTTTATCCACTAAGACTGTAAGAGGTACTTAATCTTTAAAAAGAGTTAATTTAATGATTGTTTTATTGCTACAAAGATATACGTGCACCCTAAATTATCAATAAACAATAATTACTAATAGAGCCCTTTCATTTTATTGTTTCCTTCACTACATAAACCTTTGTCAGCTCTGGTTGAATTAGGTTTTCTGTTTGTTATTGCCCATGAATGAATGGGGACTAAAGTTCATCAGTCAGTATTAAAATTATAAATAAGAAATAGGTTTTTATTTAATTTGGCAAATATTGGGACTTCACAGTAGATAACATAGCACTTGAAGGTTTGCAAATCACTTTACTTATGTTCTCATTGATCCTCACAATTATTCTCACTTTACAAATGAGAAAACTGAGGCTCAGAGAGAGTTAAGTGACTTGCTTAGGGTCACATAGCTAGTATCTGTGGTAGATTCAAACTTGGATCTTCGTTGCTCCAAGCTCAGTATTCTATTCATCACTCTATCTATTTCTGAGTTTCTTAATGTTCTTTCTTGCTGTTCCTCATTAATGTTTAAAAAACAAAGAAACATCTAATTCCAAATAACTGTTTCCTTTACCGTAAGTATTTTAAATCAGAAAATGTCCACTAATAGGAACAAATATTCATTTGTAAACATCTAAACTTCCCACAACTATAAGGTCCATTACTTCATCCTCTGTAAATAAATTCAGGCCCCATAATCAAAATAAGCACAGAGAAAATATGCAGTATAATTTTGATCATAATAGAAAGCACTCTTATATTAAAATATCAGCTTTAGTACTCCAAGAATATTCAACATACCTATTTTTATTTTCATTGTAGCACATCGTTATGGCAGCAAAGATCGACTGGGCAGCAGATCCAGCCTTGAAGGCCCTTATTTTACAGCTTGAGAAAAATTTAAGTTTCATCTGAACAATTCTGCTTGTTTACATGCTATTAAATAGTAAATTTCAAGAGAAACTCTGTATTTCGGGCTCTATTCTGTTAATTCAGACTCTTTAAAATATTTGTTTCAGTAATGCTAACTTCAGAGTCATTCTGTGTCAGTTATTAAAATGACACTGTCACAGAATTTGGGATCTTTAAGTTAGAAGCATCCCTACAGGTCAAGTCCAACTTCTCACCTAATATGGGAACCTGCTCTATAATATCTGCGACAGATGGTCATCTAGTCATTGTTTGAACCCTTCCAGTGATTAAGCATTCACTACCTCATTAGACAATCTATTCACTATCTAAATAGCCCTGTTATTCCTTTATATGGCATTTATTGATTAGTATTCTAGAAAATAGTGGTTATATCCCCCTTTAAAAGCAATATATTTTCCAAAATACTGATCTTTTTGTGGTATTAAAAACTTTAATAAAGTTACAGATTAAATTGTCAATATTATTTGAATTGCATTAATATTTAAAAAATTTCAAAAAGGTATATCTTATAAATAAATTAGCTAATTTCTAAATTTAGTTCAGCCCCTTTTTCTTTTAATTTAGATAAGGGATCTTTTTGTTATTTTTAGCTTCATTTTTTTCCCCTTTGGGGGAAAAATTTCTCTTTAAATTAAAAAAAGTTTTTTTTTCATTTAATTAAAATATATTTTCTTCTCTCCCTCCCATCCCCTACTAAAAAAGCCCTGTAACAAATATGCATGATGAAATAAAATAAACTCCCATATTGGCCATATCCAAAAATATGTCTCCTTTTGCATCTTAATTCCATTCTTCTGTCAAGAGAGTAACAACAACAATAATAATAATAATAATAATAGCTAATATTTATATAGTGTTTACTATGTGCCAGGTACTGTACACAAATATCTCATTTGATCCTCACAACAAAGCCTGGGATATAGGTGCTGTTATCTCAGTTTTACAGGGCTATAAAAAATATGCATACCCTTTAACCCAGCAATAGCACTTCTAGGGCTGTATCCCAAGGAGATCATATAAATGGGAAAAGGACCCACATGTATTAGAAATATTTACAGCAGCTCTTTCTGTGGTGGCAAAGAATTGGAAATTGAGGGGATGCTCATCAATTGGGGAATGGCTGAACAAGTTGTGGTATATGAATGTAATGGAATACTATTGTGCTATAAGAAATGATGAGCAGGTGGACTTCAGAAAAACCTGGAAACACTTGTATGGACTGATGCTGACTGAAGTGAGTAGAACCAGGAGAATACTGTACACAGTAACAGCCATGTTGTGCGATGACTAACTTTGATAGGCAGCCCTTCTCACCAATGCAAGGATCTCCAAAAGTCTTGTGATGGAAAATGCTATCCACATCCAGAGAAAGAATTATGGAGTTTGAATGCAGATCGAAGCATACTATTTGCTCTTTTTTTTCCCTTCTGTTTTGTTTTGTTTCCTCTTTCTTGTGGTTCCTCCTCTACCTAGTTCTAATGCTTCCTTACAACATGACTAATGTGGAAAATGTTTAATAGGAATGTATGTGTTGAGCCTATAGCAGATTGCATGCCATCTTGGGGAGGGAGGTGGAGAGAGAGGGAGAAAAATTTAAAACTTAAAAGCATATGAAAGTGATGTTGAAAACTAAAAATAATTTGTTTAAAAAAAGGAATAAAAAAAGAGATCATTACCCTCTTATATGTAGTCTCTGCTGAAGCCAGCATTGATACCAGACCCGCCTTGGACCAACACCTACTGAGTGTTCCAAGGCCTACCAACTGTGCTGTTCCTTGTGAGACCTATGAGGTGTCATTAAATCTTTACCCCTACAAAATCCTCTGCTAAGGGGCTTCCCTCTTCTTTGGAGAGTAGGCAAGGATTCCCTCACCTTTATTTATTCAGGATTGCCACCGTCAGCTGAGGGTCACCTTTCCAGGTAAAGACATTAACCATAGTTACTCAGAACTTCCAGCTCTCATTAGAGGGCAAGGTACCTCCCAACAATTTCACCTCCACTATTCCCCAAGCTATTTCTGGGAAGTCCAAACTTTCATGGGGGAAAAGAAACCTGCCAATGTTCATTTCTCTAGAATATATGGAGCCCCTAGTTGCAACAAAGACCTTAAGACCCAGGCAACTCCAAGGTAATGGAATAAAGAAGGGTTCAACAGAGTCAAACAGAACTATATCGAAGAGCAGCCTATTATAAAGTAGGTCATCCTGGAGGCTAGACCCAAGAAAGTGCTGGACTGGAGGGGGTGTGCCATTTATCAAAGATACAGTTTATGAGATGTGTTTGACACTCTGATATGGTAGTGTAGTCAGGGGCATAATGGAAAGCTGTTCTTTGAAGATACTGTACTAGTCTTTCACAGATGGGCACTGCAACTTCCATGAACAACACTGTTGAGCAGAAAGTAGATGACTCACCCTTAAGAGTATATGGTTTGGGGCAGCTGGGTGGTGGAGTGGATAGAGCTCTAGCCTTGGAGTCAGGAGGACTTGAGTACAAATTTGGCCTCAGATACTTGACACTTACTAGCTGTATGACCCTGGGCAAGTCACTTAATCTCAATTGCCTCATCAAAAAATCGGGGGGAAAAAAGTATATGGTTCCATCCCCATCACAACCATCAATTTTAAGCAACCTTATATTTCAGGTTCAAGTATAACCCAGAAATCTTTATGATATTAGCTTCCCTCTGACCACCTATTAGGTGTGCAGTTCCATGCCTGTTTTCACCAACCCAGAGTGCCTGGATTTGTCTGAATAGCCATTGTGGCTGGTTTGATCTGCTTCTATTTTACAAATTGGGTTGCTCCCCCCTATCTGGGGGTGGTGAGGGGAGGCTGATAGCTAAAGCCTGGGATACTACTCAGGGCTCTACCTAAAAAGCGGAGTCTATTGCCTCAATGTCAACTGGTCAAAGGAGAGGAGAGAGAGAAAATCTGTTCTGGAGTAGCATAGATCCAGTCTACCGAACTCCACCACTTTTAAGAATTTGCCCTTTCCCTTGCTACTTTCCATCAGGGAACCATCTATAGATAGAATTCATCTTCATGGAGCCAGGCATGCAAAATTAGTCATCTATACCACCAAAAAGGGACAAAAGATGTTCCCCATTCAGGGCCGCTCACTGATGTAACTGACTTTACAAAAACAAATGCGTGAGCTCTGGGTTGATAGAACTGGGCAGCCACAAGAAGCTCTGCATTAATTCCATTGCCCCACCCTCTCAGCAGCCGATGTTCCAGTGACTAACTGGGTTGTTTTCAAATTTTCTGCAGCCCCTCAATTTCCTTGGTGAAAGCTCACCCATTCTCCAAAGTAGAGAAAGGACAGTAATAGAGTAAGCCTGAAGCTCACTTACTACCTTCCTCATCTTTACCCCTGTTCCCATTCTTTTACTAGCAGCCTTAATCTCATTCAATTTCAACATGCATTTTATTATAGTTTTCCAGAATTAGAGATTATTATTGTTGCTTTCCAGAATAGCTGAACTGATTCAGCTCCACCAACAATTTATTACTATGTCTGTCTTTCCACAACCTCTCCAACACTGACTTCTCATCTTTTGTATTCTTTGCCAATTTTGCTGAGTGTGAAATGGAAGCCTCAGGGATTATTTTGACTTGCATTCTTAGTTATTATTTAGAACATTCTTTCATATAATCATTGACAGTTTTCAATTCTTCAGAATGCTCCAGTGGTTCCCTTTTGCCTTAATGATCAAATGCAAACTCTCTGGGCATTTAAAACTCTTCACAAAATGGCTTACACTGTTTGCTTCAGACCTACTATACATTATTTCCCCTCCCACTATGCTCAACCACACTGGCCTTCTTGCTTTTCAGAAGTACCTTTGCATTGTAATTGTTCCCCAAGCTTGGAATGGGTTCCCTTCACACCTCTGCCTCCTAAAATCCTAGCTTCCTTAAAAGGTTAGGTCAAGTGCCTCTTCTATTTTGAGGCCTTTCCCCAGCTGCTAGTAACTACTCCCATCAAATTATCTTGTATATACTTATGTATCATGAGTAATTTATTTGTATAGAATGTATCCCCAACTAGAAAAAGCTCTTTAGCAATGTAGAAAATGTGGTTAGGGATGTTGCTTCTTCATATCACTTATCAGGTGTGGATGCCTACCTGACAGCACACTCAGAGCATTAAAATCAGTCTAAATTGGGTTTGATGTCCAACGTATCAGCTTATAGCTAGGGGAAACCATGACCAGGTAAGGTGTAAAGAATTGTGGGGAGTGGGAGATGTAATTAGGGATGGAGACTCACGTGGGGAAATTAGGTGCTTCGGATAGGGTGTAACCTCTATAGTACCCAACCAATGGGGAAACAAGGGAGGGAAATTAGAATCGGGAATAAGGAATAAAAAGCCACACGTGCTCTCTCATGTGGCACACTGTTTAATAATAGTTTCTTGCTGGTTCAAACAATGACTTTGTGGAATTCTTGGTAAGGCTTTTTGCTGCTAACAGCAAGGACTGTCTCATTTGTATTTGTTTCCCTCTTAACCCAGTGCTTCATATGTAGTAAGCCCCAGTAAATGTATGTGAGTCTATTGATTTAAACCAGCTGTATTTCATGTTGTCAAGAGGCATTTATTAAACACCTAGTATGCACCAAGGACCATTTGATATTCTCTTGCACTGTGAACTGATGAGATCACAAATCTAGTTGAGAATGAGAATTTTCTCTTGCCACAGTTAAGTGAATAAATATAATGTTTGTGTTGGATAGAAAGCTGGCCTCCAAGCCAGGAAGACTTGGGTTCAAGTCCTATTCCTTATCATACAGGCTGTGTGACCCTGGATAAGTTACTCAATCTCTCAGTGCTCTAGGCAACTCTTAAGATGATAGAAGTTGCAGTAAAAGTGCTGATGCTTTGGTACAGGGAGTTTCCTCATCTGAGAGTTCATTCTGTCACTGAGATCACAGGTCCTATTTAAGGGATGTGTCTTATTTTCATCTTTTTAAGTGTTTGAAATATAAAGATTTAGTGGGGGCATTAAATTTTGGACTGAACTTGGTGGAAATTAGAAAGTACTTTAAAAACAATTATTCTAAACTTAACACCAAATAAAGTGGGCATTTATTTGTATGTACATACTAGACAAGAAACACAGGATTGCGAGTGAAACTGCAGATCTCTCATGCACACATTGCTTTTGTTTTTAAGTATATAATAAACTCAATATTCAACTTTCTTTTTTTATTTACTAGTATTTTATTTTTTCCAATTACACTGTGAAGACAATTTTCAACATTCACATTTTGAAAGATTCTGAGTTCCAAATTTTTCTCTCTCCCTCCTTCCCTCCCCCCTCCTCCCTCCCCAAAGTGGTAAGCAATCTGATATAGATTATACACATGCAATCATATAAAACATATTTCCACATTAGACATCAACATCCAACTTTCAAAGCCATCTTGCTTGTCTGTTCTTCTTTCTGGTCTTCCCTCTGTTCTCCTTGCATTTTATTTTGGTTTTTGGTTTTTTTTGTGTGTTTTTGCTAGGCAATGGGGTTAAGTGACTTGCCCAGGGTCACACAGCTAGTAAGTGTTATGTGTCTGAGGCTGGATTTGAACTCATGTCCTCCTGAATCCAGGGCCGCTGCTCTATCCACTACGCCACCTAGCTGCCCCCTCTCCTTGCATTTTAAATAAAGATGCTTGTGACTCTTTTCTTTCTTATGCTATTCCTACTCTTTACCCTCCACATCTCTTGGAAAGGAAAAAAATTTAAAAATCCTTATAAAAAAAATTCCCAAACTGTGTCAAAAATGTAATGTTTTTTTCTTTCACCTCTCTGTCATCCAGAATTGTAGTTGGTCATTATTTTGGTTAGCTTTTCAATTTTTTGGAAAAAAAATTCATTAATGTTATATCAATTGTTAATTCTACTAACTTCACTTTGCATCGGTTCATACAGGTCTTTCCACATTTCTCTTACAGGGAAGAGAACAAACATTGATTAAGCATCTACTAAGTGCTGAGAGCTTTACAAATATTGTCTCATTGGATCCTCACAACAGCCCTAGGAGGTAGGTGATATTATTATCTCCATTTTAAAGTGGAGAAAACTGAGGCTTAGGGAAATTGAGTGACTTGCCCAGGGTCACACAGCCAGTGAATGTCTGAAGCCAAATTTGAAGTGGGGTCTTCCTAACTCTATACCCAATGCTTACTCCACTGCATTACTTAGGTGTACAATAGTATTCCATTACATTCCTGAGCCATAATTTTTTTTTTTTGGCAATTGGGGTTAAGTGACTTGCCCAGGGTCACAGAGCTACTAAGTGTCAAGTGTTTGGTCTGAGGCCTATTTTGAACTTAGGTCCTCCTGACTTCAGGGCCTGTGGTCTCCACTGCGCCACCTAGCTGCCCCTATAATTTTTTTTTTTTAACAATTATATACTGATATAATAAGCAAATTAAGGGAGCATGGAACAGTTTACCTGTCAATTCTAAGCATAAGGGAAGAATTTATGACCAAACAAGAGATAGAGTGCATGTAAAATGGATAGAGGGATGTAAAATGGATAATTTTGATTTCGTTAAATTACAAAGGGTTTGCATAAATACAAAACCAATGCAGCCAAGATTAGAAGGAAAGGAGAAAACGGCTTGGGGGGGAGATTTTTACAGCAAGTATCTCTGATAAAGGCCTAATTTCTCAAATATATAGAGAACTGAGTCAAATTTTTAAGAATAGGAGTCATTTCCCAATTTATAAATGGTCAAAGGATATGAACAGGCAATTTTCAAAAAAAGAAATCAAAGCTATCCATAGTTATATGAAAAAATGCTCTAAATCACAATTGATTAGATAAATGAAAATTAAAACAACTCTGAGGCACCACCTTACACCTCTCAGATTGGTTAACATGACAGAAAAGGAAAATGACAAATGTTGGAGGGATGTGGGAAAATTGGGACCCTAATGTACTGTTGGTAGAGTTGTGAAATGATCCAACCATTCTCGAGAGCAATTTGGAACTGTGCCCAAAGGGCTATAAAACCTTGCATATCCTTTCACCCAACAATACCACTACTAGGTCTGTATCCCAAAGAGATTTTTCAAAAAAAGGAAAAGGATATATATATGTATATATATATATATATATATATATCAGCTCTTTTTGTGGTAGCAAAGAATTGGAAATTGAGGAGATGCCCATGAATTGTGGAATGGCCAGACAAGTTGTGGTATTGTCATGGCTTGTGATGAAATCCTATTGTGTTATAATAACGGGAACGATGATGCTTTAAGAAAAATCTGGAAAGACATAAACTGATGCAAAGTGAAGTGAGCAGAACCAGAAGAACATTGTACACAGCAGCAGCAATATATGATGACCAACTGTAAATGACAACTATTCTCATTAATACAAGGATCCAAGTACAATTCCAAAGGACACATGAAGAAAAAATGTCATCCACCTTCAGATAAAGAACTGATAGAGTCTGAATGCAAGTCAAAACGTACTTAAAAAAAACTTTATTTTCCTTTTGTTTTGTCCATTTTTGCAACATGGCTAATATGGAAATGTTTTACATGACTGCACATATATAGTCTATATCTAATTGCTTGCCATCTCAGGGATAGGAGGGAGAATTTGAAACCCATGTATCCTTCCTCCTCCCCTTCCCAAAAATACGACAAATAATATTTTTAGAAGAGGAAAATAAAAATCAACCGTGTATCAAACTTTAAAGCCATCCTCTAATTTTTGAGGACCCCCTTAATTTCCAGTTCTTTGCCACTACAGAAAGCTTGCATATTTTTGTACATGTGAATCTTTTCCCTAGGAAAATGTATTTTGGAAGGGACTGATCGTAATTCATGCACAAAGGGGTAGCAAAGGGCGAAACAAATAAAGCATAAAGTAGACTTCCCTGAGTGCCCGCTGGAAAAACTGAAGGCGCGATGTCACCTGGACCAAAGCCGCAGAGGACGCGGCGAGGGGCGGGGCTAAGCGGGACGGCCTTCGAGGAGGGCGGGGCGTCGTCACCACGCCCCTCGTGGTCAGTGACGCCAACGAAAACCTCGCCTGGCGCCGTCGAATCCTAACAGTCCTTCGGCCTGCCCCGGAAACAGTACATCCCCGTGGGTCGCCATGGGCAGCAAGATGGCTGCGGCCACCCGGGTCGTGCAGGTAAAAAACTCGGCGTTGCCTTTCTTGGCCCCCAGGCGGGGTAGGAAGGACTCAGGTCAATGGCTGCCGCCTCCAGGGAGGGAAAGGGGTTGGTGGCGGTGCCGGCCGGTACCGTCTTCTGAAGGGGTGAGGAAGTCGTGCCGGGGAGCATGTGGAGGTGGACGTTGGACCCTGTGCCCGGTTGCCCTTGCGGCGGTACGGGGAGTGTGCGGGCCTGTGGCCCCGGTGGGGCCGTGGTTGGTTGGTCTCCGGCTGTTGGCGCGGCCCGATCCATCCTGGGTTCCTCTGGCTCTCCAGGTTCCCTCAGTGGTTGGGAGCTTTATTCCCGGGTGTTGGCGGGGAGAGGCGGGGCTCCGCTTTCCCAATACTCGCGTGGCCAATCACGGTGGAGGTGGTGTTCCGTCACAGCCAATAGGGAGGAAGGAAGGGCGGGAAAGAAATGAGGGGGCGGTCCGGGAGGACACTGAGGAGGCTGTCAAGGACTCCGGGAATGCAACCTGGAGGGACCTCTACCTTTCATGGCCAGCCTAGGTCTCAAAGTCATTCCAGAAACATTAAGTGTATGCCGGGCACTTGCTAAACTCTGAGGATACAAAGAAAGGCAGAAGACAGCCCCTGCTGTCGAGGAGCTCGAAGTTTGGTGGTGGAAGCAACATAGCAAACAACTAAATGTGATTCCAGATGAGGAGCTAGATAACCTTACCTGAGAGAAAAGATGAACGGGAGACTGATTACCCAGACGTCACCAGCTGTGCTCGAGGCAGCCGGGTGGCACGGTGCAGCCTGGATTTAGATAGACCCACATACACATTCCCAGCCTCCGAAACTTACTAGCCATGTGGCCCTGGGCAAAGTCATATAACTTCCCTACGTCTTAGTTTCCTCATGTGGAAAATGGAGAGTCTACCTCATAGGGCAGGTGTGAGGATCAAATGAGATATTTGTAAAGTGCTTTGCAAACTTTAAAGTGCTATTTAAATGCTAGTTATTATTATTGCTATATATAAGACACTGAGTTTTTCCATTCATTGTTGACTAATCTACATGCTAAGAGTTTTTGCTGGGTGAAGAGGATCCGAAGGTGAAGTGAGCACTCAGTTACTGATCTCAAGGAAGCTTGATAATAGCTATGAGAAGAAAGGTGCTAGATTTAGGAGAACTGGCTTACAATCCTTTTAAACCCCTCTTTTTTTTTTCCTTTTTGGTGAAGCAGTCGAGGTTAAGTGACTTGCCCAGGGTCACACAGCTAGTAATTGTCAAGTGTCTGAGGCTGGATTTGAACTCAGGTCCTCCTGACTCCAAGGCCAGAGCTCTATCCACTGTGCCACCTAGCTGCCTCTATTAAACCCCTCTTTTATTAGAATATTGACTATGCATTTTGCCACTCAGTCTCATTTTCCTTTTTAGTAAAATTGGGATAATACTTGCTTCATACTCCCATAGTGGTTGTGAGGAAAGTGGTTTGTAAACCTTAAGTGGATGTGTATCCTATGGGATTGTAACACTTATCTTTCTCTTGGTTTCTCCTCCTGTCTGTCTGGTAGCTCCTCAGTCTCCTTTGCTGATCATCTTCAGTTCCTCCCCAACAGAAAGTGTCTAAAAGCTCTCTTTTTTATTCCCTCTTTTCCTTTCTTTACACTTTCTGGATGATCTCATTTCCTATATGTTCAAATATGTTATCCTCTGCACTACCTAGCTACTCTATTCATTAGAGATAATAATAACTATCTCTTATAGATTGTTAGAGTTAGGGCAACCAGGTGGTGCAGTGGATATCCTGCTGAACTTGGAGTTAGGAAGACTTGAGTTCTAATGTTGCCTCAGACATTTATTAACTGTGTGAATCCAGTCAAGCCGGTTTCTTGATCTCTAAAATAGGAATAATAGCACCTACCTCTCAAGATCAAATGAGATAACATATGTAATGCACTTTTCGGATCTTAAAGCTATTATTAAAGTTATCTACATAGATAATTTTCTAATCTCTATCCAGTCCTAGTCTTTTGGACTTCTGTATCAGATCCCTAACTTACATTTAGACATTGCCTATTGGATTTCCCGTAGGCATTTCAGACCTGACATATCTAAAACATAACTTCTTATTTTTTCTCCTAAACTCACTCCGTCTTTTGAACTTCCCTAATTATGAAGAGATGATACCATCACCCTTTCAGTCACTCAAGTTCTCAATCTTAGAATTATTCTGAATCCTTATAACACTCCATTTCCAAATCTCATCAGTTTACCTCTACAACAGCTTTTGAATCTGCCCCCATCAGTCCACTTGTACAGTCCCCACTATATAGTTCAGTTGGCTCTGTCCTTTCATCCAGATTATTAGCAATCAATTCCTAATTGGTCTCCCTGCCTCAAGTTTGTACTCTCTCTAATTCATCCTCCACACAGGTATGGAAGTCATTCCTAAAACACAAGTCTGACCATGATACTCTCTGCTCAAAAAACTCCACTTGCTCCCTATATTATTGCCTCTTAGATAAAATAAAAACTTTTTTATTTGGCATTTAAAGCCCTTCACAATCTGGCTCCAGTCTACCTTTCTAGACTTTTACATTATTGCTCTTCACATACACTATATTCTTGCCAAAAAGTATGCCCTAATTGCTGTTTCTAATGCAGGATATTTAGTCTCCGCTTTAATGACATTGCACAGGATGTTCCCCAGGCTTAGAATGCACTTCCTTCATTCTGCCTTTTAAAATCTCTAGCTCCCTTTAAAGTTGAGTTCAAGAGCCACCTTCTTTGGGCTACCTGCCTGGTTCCTTGCTTTCAACACTTTGTATTTATTTTGTATATATTTTATTTTTTTATATTTATATTTATATTGTTATATTTATATTAATATGTGTTGTTTCCCACAACAGAGTGGGAGCTTCTTGAAAGCAGGGATTGTGTTATTATTGTATTTGTATTCCTAACACCTAATGCTGTGCCTAGTTTATATCAGGCACTTAATAAATGCTGCTGATTCATTGATAATACTCAAATAGTTTATAACCTGCTGAGGGAGAACATGCATTCAGATCTAATACTGAGTAGACCAGGAAAAGGGCGTAAAGGAGGAAAAAAGTACTATGAACGTTTGGAGGAGAAGGGGGTATCTGGGAAAAGGTAAGTAGTATTTGATCTGAGCCTTGAAAAATGATTAGAATTTCAACTGGCTAAGCCACATAGAAGGAAGGACATTTATGGAAGAAAGAATAGTGTACTCCCTATGTTTTGGGGTTTCATTTAGTAACTAGTATTTTCTTCTACTTATCAGTCGCTAAATTTTGTTAGCCATTATTTTTCTGTTCTTTCACCCGTCCTTCTGCTCTTTGGCCTTTAATTTTGATATAAAATGTATTTCCCCTGTAGCAGATATATTTCAAAATAACTTCTGTAACATTTTTCTTGGACTTACTTTCCAAAGTTTAATCTTAAAGGCTGATTCTTGGTTTGTATTCTTAATTAATCATTGATAGTAATCCCTACATCTAAGGGAGGTAGTAAAGGCATTTTCTGAATTTTTTAGGCGGTGACACTGAGGCTTAAAGAAATTTACAGCTTCACTCAAAGTAACTAAAAATAATTAAGCCATCCTACAATGACTGGATCTAGCACGCTATACAACTGCTTTGGGGAAGTATATATTTCAACATTTCCCTATAGAACCAAGATTGGTCATTGAGTTCAACTGCTTTTTGTTAAGTGTTTTTCTTTATATGATTTCAGTCATCGTATAAACTTTTCCTGGTTCTTCTTAACTTTGTTCTGCATCATTTCACGCAACTCTTTTGTTTCTCAGAATTTAATAGCTATTCTTTCTTGGGGCAATAACAATATCCCATTATGATCATATGCCATGATTAGTTCAGTCATTCCCCAAACTGTAGATACCCGATTTGTTTCCAGTGTTTTTGATACCACAGAAAGCCCCACTATGAATATTTTGTTTATATCTAGCTATATTTATCTATCTACATACATACATGTACACATATACATCCATACACATATGTGTATCTATATATCACCTTTCTTCTGTCTTTTACCTCCTTGGGGTATATGCTCAGCTGTGGGATCTCTGGCTCAAGGGATATAAACAGTATCATGACTTTTCTTTCATAATTTCTGTCAGTTTTCCAGTGCGGTTGGACTATTCATAGCCCCAAATCTGCTTATTTTTCCACAAGTAAAAAGAGAATTGTTGGAGCAAAGTGCTCAGAGTTTGAGATTAAGAGCACCAGTGGAGCCGATAAATGGAAGAGATAATCTTAGCAAAAAGGAGGGATTCTTTATCCTCAAAGATAAGAATGATTGAGGAAAGGATGGCAATGATATAGAGAAATTTCAAGGTAGAAAGGAAGAAAATTAAGAAAACTTGTACTGTACGGCTTTAATTTCAGGAAAATTATTGTAAAGTTCAACTGTTAAGTGTAACTGAAGAGGGAAAATTGTCGATTTCACCAAATAACAGAATTTCAGAGTTGAAGGGACCTTCAGAGTGGCAGTGTAACAGTGGAAAGGCTGTTGGACTTGAGCTCAGTAAGATTTGAAATTGAATTCCTCTTTCCATGCTTTGCTAGCTTTAAGATCATAAGCAAGTCATGTAACTTCTCTAGACCTGTTTCTTCAGCTATAAAATGGGTTTTTAATAATGATGCCTGTATTATTCATATTTTTGTTGTGTGGCTCAAACAAGCATCATCTAAATGTTAGCTGCTATCATTGTTAACCAATCCAAACATGTATGTGACGCCAAGGCCACAACATTGACAAGTGGGCCTCTCACTTGCCATTACTGCTATGGCATCACGAACAATAGAAAGACCACTGGATTTGGAGTTAGAGGATGTGAGTAGGAATACTGTCTTTACTATTTTTTGTTATAGTTCAGTTGTTTCAGTGTCTGACTCTTCGTGACTCCATTTGTGGTTTTCTTTGAAGAAATGCTGGAGTGGTTTGCCATTTCCTTCTTCAGTTCATTTTACAGATAAGGA